ATCGCGTTGTGCCACAAGTTTTATTTCATAACTTGACAAAATAGCTCTTAATCTTTAACCAAAAAAATGTTTTTATGTCTAGTTTAGGTGCCACTTTTGAGAATTTTTTGATGTTTTTGAGGCATTTATTCGTGCATTGTGCTTTCTTAATTGGGTTAGTGAAATGAAGACGACCAGTTTTTGCTGATTAATTAGAGAAAGATAATGCCTAAATGGTATTGGAACAGTAAGAAGAAGTAATATGCTTCCAAATGAGTGCGAACAGTCTAGGATTTGATGACCCAAAGAACGATCGTTCAAAAACCTGTAAAACAGCATCTAAAATTTGCATATTTTCGCCGCTAACGGTCGTCCAGCAATGGAATGCTGGGAATGGCAGTAAAATAAACAATTTCCTCATTCTAACTGCGATTTCGTTATTAGGATGGATAGGAGTGTTGATGGTAAAAATATAAGGCAAAAGTTTTTTCGAGTCCGAAATCCAGTGGAACGCTTTTAGGGAGACTGCCTCTTAATAGACACGTAAAAATTTGCCTAATTTTTAAGTTTGGCTTCTGAAATGTATATTTTACAGACACTAAAGCAAATTCTTTTCTTATGTATTCTGGGGCCGTAGATCTTTTATATAGATCCGATATGCCGTAATTCTTGCATGGTTCTGTCCATGTTTTAGAGGTTGGTTTTGGCCAATTCTTTATTTTCTCTGCGAGAATCATTGGCAACGGACTCTTGCCTCCCAGAAGACACGTGGCATGGCGTGATTCTGTGGGTGTTGAGAGTTCTACCGTAGGTTAGGGCTTAAATCAGAGTGCCCGGATAATTTTCATCAGAGCTTTCTATGGTTGTTACGTCATACTGACGAGCCCCAAAAAGGGCGAAACAGCTGTCTATGGCTACAATCCCGCTCTGTTTTGAGTTCTTTCGGTGTCGTGTCGATGTCTTGCAGAATTAACTGCTGGTAAATGTACCGTCTTTATACTACTACATGAGAAATTTCTGCAATTTGATTAGCTTAGAGCAGTGCTATTTAAGCTTAATTTTAAAAAAAACCAACATGTGAAAATCACAAACCTTTTGTAGGTAGTAGTATAAGCAAATAATAGCATGATTTGTACGTGATTTTCAAAATTGTCTCAAATTTCACTCGCCTAACTGCTCGTGAAATTACGTATAACAATTTCGAAATATCACTCGTGGTATTTATCCCAAATATCACTACAAATCATGCTATTACCTATACTAATTTTTAATGTTAATAAATCACAAAACCGGAAAGTTTTCTTTTCTCTTTCACATCCCTAATATAAAGTGCGTCTGTAAGCCCTTTTTGGTCTTTTTACAGACTGAAATGACACGGATTTTCCTACCAGGTAATTTACCTTTCAATACGCCATAAAGTACCAGTTAATTAACCGGTGTTTATAATAGTTGGTTAAAGTATTCCATTTCAAATACTGCGGTAGACTTCAGTAGTCAGGAATAGTCTACGATGAAGCACTTAAAGAGAATAAAGTTGTTCCATAATAATCACATGAAATAGTTGGTTGAGCCGAGTGATGAAGAAACATCTGCTGAATCCGCCGAAACAACTGAGCGGTATTTAATTTTCCCCTACGTTCATAGATCGTAGTATGTTTGCAGCCCAGGCGTTGACGACCCGCTGAAAGAGCGAACTCTTTCCTTTGTCTTGTCAGATGAAAGACTTTACATATATACAAATATCTTGGTCCGTATCTATGGCGTAAATTACCACATGCAAAAGCCTTAAGAACGTTAACCGAAATTGATAAATTTCAACTGGAAAATTAGAAAAACTGATTTAGCCGGTCACTTGACTGAAGACAAATGTGAGTCGGAATGCACCTTATTAAGTAGCTCGTAAATCTTTCTTGCTTTGTATATATAAATTTTTAACTCTTAGTATTTTAGTTTACAGTCGACTGTCCCTTAACGGACACCTCTATAAGACGGACACCTCTGTAAAACGGACAGTTAGAGTTGGTCCCTGCCTTTCTTTACTCCTTTTATTTGACTCTTTGCAAGACGGACACCTCTTTAAGACGGACACTTAGTGCCGGTCCCAAAGGTGCCCGTCTTAGAGAGAGTTGCCTGTATTGCTGTACATATATATCATTTTATTTCATACTGTCCTCAAGTAGCTTATATATCTAAAGTATCTGACACTTGAATATATTATTATTAGTACTGTTATTATTATTGTAGGAATGTCACATTGAAGCTGGCAGAACTGCGTTCATCGTGCCCATTACACGAACTATAATATCAATAAAAAGAAACCGCCAATATTAGTAGAAAAATAAGAAAGCCCTGAGAATAAAAGAAGAAAACGTGCTTTAATTTTCGTGCTTTTTCATGCTTTCTATATTTTAGGTTTTGAAATGATTTCGTTATATTTCAAACAAAATAAGCGAACTAGTACCTGAATGTTTTTGCGATCAAATTCTTGCTTTGTTAAAATACGCAGAATTAAAAAATATAAATAAACAAAAAGGGTAGGGTGGCATGCGGTTATGATCGATTTCTCCTGAACTGATTATGACTTGTAACTCTTTTAAAACGATTAGAAAACGCTTTTTGAACGTTTAAGGAGATTTTTAATTTGTGAACCAGTTGGGGCGAAGGTATTCAAGAAGTCGCCGACTTTGTTGTAATCTTATACCCAGATCTCCTACGGTTAGGCTGAAGGGAAATCCTGTTGGAAAATCAGATGATTCGCGCCATTACGTGGGAAATGGGAATATTAATTACCGTAATTCGTTATGTTATATTTAATAGTTATCAACCGTGCGAGGGACCTTCAACCCCCTTTACAGCCCCTTTTCGTGAAGCTATCTTTCTTTATAATTTCTCTCTTTCTTTCTTTTTTCTTTACTATCTCCAACACTATAGCATTCCTGAACGCGTCTTTGTTAACGTCTGCCCCAGCATTTTTGATATTTTAACTTTGTTGGACTTGTTCTATTCTGGGAAATCTTTCGTGTTGAACTAGACATAGAATTAAAATTCTCCGCTTCAAGTTTCTTATCTCTGTTGAACAAATAGGAGCAGCACGTATGCCTTATGACATAACATAACATACACTTTATTACGACTCCTCTATACTGGGCTATTCTGTCGTAATATAGATATAATATATATTGTAATAATATTCTGTCTACTGTAACATCATGAAGTAGGAAGTAATTCCCCTTTAGGCATTAAAACATTATACATACAATTAGGCTACATCGCTTAATCTTCAGCCAAAAATACGAACTTGTTACTGTCATGCTATCACTTGCAAAAAGTTCAATGAAAAAGTTGCTTACACAAGCAATACAGGTCGGTGATAGACCATTCGTTTCACTACTACGAAGGTAATAGGTTGAACTCCTGAAGGTCGATTGAGCACTCGAAATTTCTTTTTTTGTGTGTTACTGACTGACTGCACGTCCCAAGCACAAAATGCTCGTGTAGATTTCATCTCTAACCATGATGAGTGTTTTTTTTTGTGATTTTTACAGGCATAGCATAAAAAACACCAGGGATGAAAATTTGACCAATCTTGGCAAGTTTCGATTCATGTCCACCATTGCCATCTCTTACAATAGACGGTGGGAAATTTAGTTTCAGTGCCTAAATATAGCCTGAAACAAATAACTGGACCATTATTTCTTGAATTCAATTTGTATAGGTAATAGCATGATTAGTAGTGATATTTGGCATAAATACCACGAGTGATATTTCAAAATTGTTATACGTAATTTCACGAGCCGTTAGGCGAGTGAAATTTTAGACAATTTTGAAATATCACGAGTGGTATTTTATGCCAAATATCACGTACATATCATGCTATTATTTGTTTATACTACTACCCGCAAAAGGTTTGTAATTTTCACATGTAGGTATTTCAAATTAAGCTGAAATACCACTCCTCTAAGCCAATCAAATCGCAGAAATTTCTTATGTAGTAGTATAAATGCGAAAAACCTTTTTGGTTTTTTTAAAGATAGCACATAGTGTGACATAGCCCATTTAAAGGCGAAAGATCACATGAAATTCTTCATGAAAATTTAAAGAATTATGACCGAGATGATGAAATGGGTCTATACCATAAACTTTTATTCTACTGGATAAAGTGTCATTATTTTAACCTTTTTAAAATGTTTATCTTCGTCATCAAGAGCCATGGCTCTTCTTGTCATTTTTTTATTTAGCGACAAATCATAGCATGTACCCAAGATCATGAAGTGTCTATAAGATAAATAAACAGCAACTGCTAAAAAAAGGAGCTGGCAAAATTACGGGCAGCCCAGAGTGTTAGGGCTTCGTTGCACTTGCCATGAAATTGTTATTATGTAGACCCTAACGTATTTCTTATTGTTAGTACAACTCAAACTCTAAAACTCATCCAAATGGATCTTGAAACGAACAGACAGTAAGAAAAAAAAAAAACTTGGTGAGTCGGTTTCATTTCTATATATATAAAAAATGGGATTCAGAATTTATTTATAGAACCAGGGCTGTCTGCGGCAAAAGTTATGTCGCGACCGAGTAGGAGGTGTGGCAAGTATCCCCTTTCCCTCCTACGGCGATGGCCCTCCCTTTCCAAGAAAAAAAAGGTTTCTTCCGTTCTCTTGTCAGAATTGTGAAGCTTTTGCTGAAGCACCTGCGTTTATTTACATAGCTAGTCAGACTAGAACTGGTTTGGGTTAGGGTTAGGGTCAAGACACTAAAAACGGTGCTGTTGGGGGATGTCACGCATCCAATTTCCCCGAAGTACAAGTATATAAAGACAAACTGCTCGATAAAGGAAACAGTTCCCTTTTATTTTATTCGCCCTTTTGCTTTTGACAACATTTAAAAACAACAAAAAAAATATTCTAAACTGAATTTATTCCTCCTCGGCTCACAATCAAACAGCACGAAGCTTCAAGACTAAACTGAGAAAACTCGAGCAAAAGTGGACGTAAGCTGGTTGGTCCGGCATGCTGGGTTTTTCAAATCTTGCGGAAGCTCTGCATCTTGTCGTTGGGGAATCCCATGGCTTGTGGAGTGTCACACCACATTCCTGGTTTCAGAGCAGTTTGCAGACCTTTATAGTTGATTTTGGTGAAGATGTCAAAGGACTGGTTCTTAGATAACACAATGACTGAGGAGACGCCTCCAGCTGTTCCACTTTCGAAAAGACTGTTCACATCTGCGCAACTTTCTTCAAACCACTACAAGACATGATCAAGAAAACATAGCACTCAGATTTAAGGTCATGGGTAAAGACAACCGTCAGGTTTGGATTAGCATCAATTAGACTTCTGTTAAATATAACACGTGTAAACAAACTAACAAATTACTTCTAATGAACCGAGATGGAATTCACCAAGTTGGTTCGATATGTCCGTTGTAAAATATAAGCTCTTTCCCGAAGTGGATGGAGGGAGTAACAGACAACCTTTAAGTGGGAGTTCGTACCGCGCCTCTGAGAACCCGCGAATTACTCCGGACCGCCATCATTCAGACCAAAACGCAGAAATTTCCACACCAGATTTCAGGCCATTGACCCTAACTAAAATCTGATCGCTTTTGCAGATCTCAGCCGGGCCGGGCCGTTCTGTTTCAGAACACACTGTCTTCAAAAATTGCATGTCTGAGCGGAAATAACCAAGTCAAATAAAGTTATGTTGTACTATATTACTTTATATGCAATTTTACGTCTAAGAAGAGCATTGAATTGCAAGATTATTCATTTATTCAACTAGTTACTTTCAAAACTAATGATTCTAGATCAGAATTCACAAAACAAGTCCAGTTCAATTCAAAAGGCATCGAAAATTTTTGATCCTGACCACGAACTAAAGAAAAAAAACACACTAGTTGCTGTCTCACGTCCTTAAGTATTAGCAGGGGCGGATCTAGGGGGAGGGTGCAGGGGGTGCGCACCCCCCCCCCCCGAGATGACCTGCGGTTTTCTAATACAACTGGTATTCTTGAGTTGTTTTTTGGTTTGTATGTCGGAGACCACCTCCCAACCCCTCCCCACTCCAGAGTTTGTTATGAAGTCTGTTTCTTTTATAATACAAAAAAAAACTATGTGGTTTAGTGGTGTTGATGTAGAGCGAGAGGCGAGTACGCCCCCTCCTAAAAAAAAATCCCGGATCCGCCCCTGATTAGTCACTGTCCCCAGATGGGAGGCCAGTGATGTTTGAGCTATTGTGCTTTCTTTATTTTAGAAATGGCGACGCGTAACAAAGAGACCATAGGTTTCCACAGTTGAAGTGTTTGTTATTGATAGTAGTTGATAAGGTTATGTATTATATTCCTAATGCATTACCTTCCTCTCTCCACCGTAGAAGGCGTGTTCAAACAAAATGATTCCTTCTGTCTGGTCCTTCACCAGGTACATGGAGCCATTGACGCCAGTAATGTCTTCATCTGCTCCTGGCTGTAAAATCTTGTAATTTGATCGGCTGCCACCAAATTCTTTGTCATTGAAGTTTGGATAAGTGTATAAGATCCAGGTTCCTGCTGTAACGACCGCTCGTTTGAAAAGAACGTCACTTTGCAGATTCATTTCTGAATCTGCAAACTCCTGGTGCAATGTGCTTGAGGGTTCGGTGTACAACTTGATGGACATGGTGGATCACAACTGCGGTAGATAGACACGGAAATACCAGTCAGTTCAAATGTGTATACTTGTATAAATGACTATGCTAAATCGCCTTTTTGCACTATAAGGCTTAAAATGTTTAAGGCTAAAATGCTGAGAAGCGAGGGGTCGAAGAAAGTAACAATTTGCATTTGTAGCAAATAATTTGCTGGATTATCTCCTCCGTATCTCAATATATTTGTGGAAGTTGTTGGCACTGCAGTGATACCCAAAGGTTTGGAACGTTCAAATGACTGATATATTTTTTTGGCGTTTCCAAACTACAGGCGACTGATTTTCAGCTATCTTTGCATAGAACTCTACTTGCCTTTGCTTGCCAAGCGTCGAATATGGAGACACAACCTTTCTTGACGTCTTGAAACACACCTTTGCCACTATTTGTGAGAGTCCTCGTTTTATATTGTTTCAGACAAGAACTGCGCATGTCATTAGCTTTCTGTAAAAGCTTCCAAGAACAAGAAAAAACAATGCTTGAATAATCTCCTCAGGGATTATCATAACAGACAAAAATAGGCTAACACGTACTCTAAATCGTGGGCTTATGGTGGTTTTAACATTCAAAACTTGGCAGTGAAATGCTCCTGGTGACTCCTGCTTACACTTGTGTTTTAAACTTACACTTATTTGTGTTCTTCTATAAAGCGAGAGTCCCCTAAAAGTAAGTAGGGGGTAAGGGTCGATTTGTTTCTAATAATACCATTTGACGGTTGTTGACGTTCATTTCAGCTGAAGTTTCTCCGAAAATCGCGCGTAAGAGAAAGAGGAAAAAAATTGCGACCATAGGGCTCGATCAACCCTCCCGCGAGAAATCGCTCCTTTATTGTAAGAAAGAAATGGAAAAATTATCAGATACTATATAAATCCTTCTGAACACCACTAAGTTCTTGTAGAAAGGGAAATAAGATAAAATAGACAGTGTTTTTACCTCGGCGAGATTTGAACTTACGACCTCTAATCGACTGCGCCATGATTGTGCTTAAATGTCAATTCACCCGTTATTAACCTGTCGTTTTTGTAGACTCGAACGTGACAAAGTCCGAGTCGAGTTGTGTTTTCAAATATTAAAATACAAGAAAACGTGCGCAACAAGTCTGAACAAGGCATTCTTTGACACTTCCGCTTCGAAACCTTCAGAACGGAACAAGCAAAATTTGAGTGATTAATTAGTAGACATATAAAAACTTGCCCAATTTTAAAGTTTAGCTACTTTTCATTTTTTCTGATCAGGTCTTTATGGATCCTTTATGGATCAGAGCTTCCTCTGGTTATTACGCCATACTGACGAGCCTCAAAGAGGGCGAAACAGCTCTCTATGGCTACGATCCCGCTCTGTTTTGAGTTCTTTCGGTGTCGTGTTGATGTCTTGCAGAGTTAATTTTCACGCAGTACGATCAGCATTGCAGTATTCTGCTTGCAGAATTTAATATGTCTTCTTTTCTAGGATTGAGTCAAAATGCGTGCAGGAATGCTAGCGTACGTCAAGCGTTTTTTCCTTTTTTCCTTTTTTTTTTTACGACAGCATTACGATAGCATTCCTGTTACAGTCTGCCTCAGCATGTTTGACATTTTTTAAAATAACAATCTATTTCAGTTTTGTTTGTTTTGATAATCCCTGGAAAACCCACTGGAGCTTTTTTCCCTTTTCTTTCTTGGAAGCGTAAACAGTAAGCTGATGACATGCGCAGTTCTGGTCCAAAACAATTATATATAATTTCCACGAGCGCGTGTTAAATATGAGATGTTAGCCGACGATGCGCGTAGCGCCGCATTGGTTATAATCATTTCATATCCAACATGCGCGAGGCTTGTTTTCACTAGCGAAGGAGTCGGAGTCGTAATCAGAAGCGTAGAGCCTATGACTTAGTAAAGACAGCGTTGCTATTCCATTTACGACTCCGTCGCTTACGTTCTGCTTATGATCTAGTGAAAACCAGATTGTTGGAGTCGGAAGCAAAGGCGGAAGAACTAAATCAATAATAAAGCGTAGTATGTGCATTGTGGTTGGTTTATCCTTCCGCTTCTGCTTCCTTCTCCGATAATCTGGTTTTCATAAGATGATAAGCGGAACGGTAAGCAGAGTCGGAAGAAATGGAAACGTTCTGATTCTTCTCACTCCGATTCCGTCGCGCTTATGACTCCGCCGGCTTACGACTCCGATTTGTGATTTTCACTAGGTCATTAGCGCTCTTACGACTCCGACCTCGTCGCTAGTGAAAACCAGCAGCCTTTAAAAACGCTTTTCTTTCTCTTTGTTAAAACAAGCAGGAAGAAACGAGCGACTTAAACTTTTGAATGTCTTATGTCCAAATTAAACTGTCATTGTTCTAAAAGGCCAATCACAAGCGCCAAAGGCGCGAGCTGCTAGAGGGGTCCGGAGGCATGCTCTCCCGGCAGATTTTGAAATATAGGGTCTCTGAAATAGCATTTTCAGCCTTCTGAGAGCATTAATTTCCCATTTAAGAAGTGTAATTTGTCAGGAGCCCATAACCCCGAGCGTTCAACTGCCATAAATTCGTGTAACGGCGTTTTTACAAGTGAGTTTAATTTAAGATAAGCTTTTCCCGCGAAAAATGACTGTTGTCGTTGACGTCCGCATCAATCAAGGTGAAAAAAAATGGCGGCTAATTTTGGTCCATCGCGAATGCGTTGCATTCTATATGTAATTCCGTTCTTCTTTACGTGAATTATGCATTGTTGCCGATGACGTAGCCGTCCTGGGCTCTTCTACGTTTTCAGATCTTCCTCTGAACCGCTAGTTTCCGTGTAAATACTGAAATTGTCGCTTGAAGTACTGTCAGAAGAATCCTCCTCCGCCATGCTTTTTTTTTAATGTGAAGAGCTGTCCTGGTTACGTATTTAAAGTTTATTATTGCTGACGCAATTGCTTGTGATTGGCTTTTCGAAATTAAAGCAATTCGCGGGAAAGGCTTATCTAAAAATAAACCTACTTGTGAAAAAGCCGTTGCATAGGTGCAGTATGGAAGTTAGACGCTTCGGGTTATTGGCTCCTGAATTTGTTTAATACCCGCTTAATTTTTCTTTGTTGAAGCCGTAAGTAAATAATTTTCAGGCTTTATCAGACTGAAATGAACACATTGAACCGAAGAGCAGCGTGAAGAGCATGGCCGCTGACCAAATTAAACGTGCCTGTCAAAATTATTGGTGGGGTGGGCAGGCCCCCCCGGCCCCTCTCCATGTTACGGCACTGTTTAAGCTTTCGTAGCTGAAGGGACAGACTGCTCATAGACTGCATTGGGCTGAACGAGTCAGACGCTCGGTACATGTTTAATGGGAGAGTCCCCGATTTAAACATCGTAGTGTCTTGCCTCACATTCAGGACTCCGTCGCACAGCTTTTCAATCGCTTGCCGCCTTATCCATCATGAGTTCTTGTTCCAGTCTGTTAAGCTACCTCGGTACCTTGAGATGTGCCAGTCTCGGGAAAACGCCTCACTACCTTCTTTTCCTTTTTCCAGACGACAGAATTTGACCTCAATGCTTCGCCCAAGGCCACGTTTCTAGGCCTCTGCCTTTAATCCCACGAACCCTTCGAGATTTTTGCTGAACTCTACAAGGGAAGAGTGTTCGCTTATTAGAGAACTTTCCAAGGAAAGTCATTGCCCCCCCCCCCCCCCCCGAGGGGACTCCCTATAATGGCCTATACGGGGAGGCTCCGCCCGAAAGGGGTTCTTTTTTTCAGGCTTCAGGTATATGAAAGGGTAGGGATTCACGAGTTGAAGTATATGAAAGGGTAAGGAAATCTGGTATTTAGGAATTTAAAAGGGTCTTTAATTAAAATATTTCGAACGGATGCAACTTATGGACGTAACACTTCATTTATTAAACGCCACAAGAATTTGACAAGAAGACTCACTGTTGAGCGATTTATTCATACGACGGGCCAGTTACAGCAGTTACAAATTAAACTCTTTAGTTAACTTCGTTAAGTATATACTAAAACAGTGGATAGTGCTTTTCGCGCGCTCTGATTGGCTACTCAATCAGTGAATATCCTGCACCGTTCACTGATTCATCTCCAGTTCCTCCGAGCGAGCGACGCCAAACTCGCGTAAGTTTCGAGCAAAATGCCTTCCCGGTTTGCTGCCGTAACAGACAAAGAAATTTCACCACTAATCAAGCAAGCTGTTCCCGAAATACACGAAGAAGGTGATGAAGTTCGGGGTGGAAGTTTTAACAGGTAAAGCTTTGTCTTTTTGACTTGAATTTATCGATAAAACCGGCAAAAAAGTTTTTTGTTTACAAATGCAAATTAAGCTCAAGTCTTGCGTTACTTTATTTAGTTGACTTGTTCATAAATAAGCTTAAAACTAAATTTAATAATCTTTTTTACAGAATGATTTTAAATACAGAAAGAATTCACAACTCCTTTTGAGGAAATTTCCCCTCAAGAGCTAAACAAATGCCTTCAAAAGTTTTATTTGTCGGCAAGAAAAAGCGACGACTGCGGCCGTACAGTCCTTGCGCGCGCCAAAATTGTAACAGTGTTATAATCGTTGCAGGCAACAGTAAATGAGTTAAAAACTATCATTTTTGTGCTCAATTACCTCACTGTTTTAGTATATACTAAAATAATTATTCACCTTAGTGTCGGTGGCTAGTTAGTTGGCTAGCCACCTCCACTTCGGTGAACAATTGTTATATAACCGTCTATCTGCGCATTTTGCCAACCTGGATTGTCATCGCATCACGGCTTCTTCGGCTTTTTGTTTATTGCATCCTTGTCAGCGTTCTTCAATACAACTTGAATACCCTTCTTGGTTAATTTACGCTCGATTTCAGTTGCTTGGGTCTTGTTAGCTTTGAATTTGACATTAAGGGGAACATTTATCCCTCCTCCAACACGCCAGCGACCTTTAGGCTCCTTGAAAGGTTGTCCAGTTACCTTGCTGAAAGGTAAGTGGAATCGTAATTAATCGCTTAATCCAATAAACATTTGGAATATAGTAAGATGTTGTGAGAGCAAAACGAGGCTTGGTGTTCTCCCGCAGTATCGTTCATTAACCTCATTCTAGGGTTTAGAAAAAGGGATGCAGTTTTTTTAAGTAGGTATATGAAAGGAACCAAATTTTCAGTGGAGGGCATACGGACGGGGTACCTTTTCTGCCAAAAATGGTATGTGAAATGGTAAGGGGTTGGACCTCGGGACGGAGCTTCCCCATATAAAACTTTGTTGAGTACCCTTCCGGGCATTGAACCCAGGGAATTAGAGTCTACGTAAAATATTATGCCTTCAACTGAAAATATATTACCCGTTTGCGCTGCCATGTTTACAATGACAATGATGTTCAATTTGCGCGTTCAATTCCTTGGCGGACTTAAAGAGTCTTCCGATGTTTACGAGGTATCTACGAAGAATAGCGAGGTCTATGTGAGGGTCAGTGTAAGATAGGTGTACGTTATATTTACGATTATTGTCTCATTTGCAGATTCTTAGTCTTTATCTATCTTTCAGAGGTCGAGAAACTGAAAATCAAGAGGAAAATACGGAATGAAAGCACGATTATCGATTATCAATTCGAGTTTTTCACGAGGCACGCTCAACCTTTTGGTCAAGTAACACGAGGAATAATTATCTAAATTCACGACACGTAAAACGGCTAAAAATATCCTTGTGCGATCCCCTGGACGACCCTTTCGAAATACTCTAACTTTTTTATATTTCCTGTTAGGAAAAAAACTAAGATTCCAAAAATCTAATCCGTCAAAATATCTGAAGTTGACTTACACCGCGCCAAGTCTAATCGCTCATATCATTTTCCGTCCGATACATTACTTCAAATTTGAACTTTTATTTCCGGGTAAATTTAGAAGTCTCACCTTACTTTTTGTAACGCAAGGGTGATCCTTTAAAGCGCATTCCAATTATTTTAGGGTTGTAGTAAAGTTCGCAAGATTAAGATCAACTTTCATGGCTTAGAAGGAGTGTACTGGTGAAATGATCAGTAATAGGCGAATCTTTGTGAGGTCACCCTAAAAAGGTCACTTAGAATTTTCGGGAGACTTTGAAATTTTCGAAAAGGTAAGTTTTGATCCCTATAGTTTTCGGATCAATAGACTTTCAGCTAGGAAATCCGAACAGATGAAGAATTTTTATAGGGGATAAAAATATGCCCATATCTACCGTTTAAATACTAAAATACGTTTAACAATGCTATGTTTAAGTGGTTTTGAACTATAATATTCCCTTTGGGCGCCCCTGATAAAAACAGCACAGCTGCAGTTTATGTTGGGAGCAGTCCCTGGCGTTGCACAATCCTTGTTTTTTTTTTGTTCTCAATGGGTGTGTTTTTGTTGGCTGGTCAGAAATATTAAAATGATAAGAATGCTATTAAACGTTGTCACCTTCAAGTTCAACTAAACATAAAACAAAGGATCCGGAGTTCCTTCATCTGTACATACATCTACTAAACTAAAAACCTTCCTTTTTAAGTTCCCAAACCGGTGGTTTTTCACAAATGATTTTTTAATAGAAATTCAACCTTGTGCAATTATTTCTGTCAACCAGAAATTATTAATTATTTCATGAGTGCGTGTTGGATCAGTGAGATGGTAGGCGGCGCTACGCGCCTCATTGGCTATAACCATCTCATATCCAACAAGCGCGGGTGGAATAATTGTTTTATTAAAAACGCCCACAGACTTTATCTGTAAAAACAACCAATTTTCAGCGCAGTTGTTTGTTTCAGTTTTTAATAAAGAGCGATTTTCGTGTGACCTTGAAAAATGGTTTCGGTAAGTGTTCGTTATTTCTTTTATCACCTAATGGCTAAAAAGATCAAAACATGGAATATTCGTTTTCCCGCCAAAGAAAACCCTAGTATGGAGAAGGCATTGTTCGATTGGCTAATCGTGCTGCAGTATGACGTCAAAGCGAAGTATCGATTGATTCCTAGAAAGTTCTAGGGCATGACGTTTTTTCACCCGAGCGTTCGCTGAACCAACCAAAAGCCACGCGCGTTTGTATCCGTTTGACAAACCAATCAAATCGCTCTATTTCCGTTCGTTTGTGTTTTTTGTTTTGTTCGCGCGTTTTCATTTCAAGGTCATACAAAAACTGCTCTATATTTACTCACGAAAATTAGCTTTAACGTCAGTTCTTTACATGACCCTCTTTAAGAGAAAGAAGAGTTCTCTCATTCGGTCGAAAAAGAATTAGCTTTTTGCTGTAATATTTTGGACACCTTAAAAAACAAAGAAATCTTTTCTTCGAATAAATTTATTGATTCGTTTGCATGTTGTGCTGTACAAATTGTTATGTTATTGACAAGTTTCAGATAGTAACAGCGGAGTTTCCGGGCGCTCGATGCGCGCGCATTGTACGTAGCCCCATTGGATCTTTTGCTATAGAAACTGGAAACCAACCTTAAGTGTGGACCAGAGAAAATTTGGTTATGACTTTACCGAACGCCTATCCGACCGTCTGTCCGTCTGTCCACAGTCCAAGGCAGGCGAGAGGGGAGACTTTAGGGGGCGGAAAAGCAAAACCAGTTTAGTGAAAAACAGTGGGGTTTAACAGCAAATTTTTTAGTCTCCGCTTTTAGTTTGTTCCGTGGATTTAGCTGCTGTCCGTATTAGCGGGGTTTTGGTAATAGCCACTATACACCGGCGAGTACATTGTAGGTGCTCAATAGCCGCCAAGCCGAAACGGGGGAATCGCGCTCGTTTCCGGCTTTGTCTTTTCTTATCGGATGGTTTTGTGAGTATAAAAAAATTCTCAGGTTTTCTTTATTTGAACCATTAGTTGGAGTCAGAAATGTAAGACTTTTTCTACGAAATATTTTTTCATGGCGAGGAACTAATTGGTTAATCATGCTAATGCAAATATCATATCGCTATTATTGAAACAACTTGTGTGTTTACCACAGGATAGTAAGTTCACCTGTATGCACATACATCAAATAGTGGGATGTAATTCACACGCAATGTAAATGCGTAGAGTAACATCACAATTGTTTATGCTTAACCCACCTGTGGTACAAGCAGTAGTCAGACTATGCACTCTGTTTTTAAAACCGGCTCTTCTCTATTAACAAATTCGTTGAAGCTCACAACAACTTCCAGAAGAAGTTTGGCTAAAAACCCCATAAAGAACATAAATCAAACGCTACCAGATCAGGTTGTAAATAGTGTGCAAAGAGAGAACGCTCTCTCCTGTTCAAACGAAGAAGAGAGCAGATTAAAACACATTGATATTGTACGCTGGTTTACGACGCTATATTCGCTGAGGACTACTTTTCAGCCCACCTTCAACAGTGCGTCACAGGCGTAGCTTGCACGGTCCTGCTTATTACAAAGGGAACATGCCGATTATTTCGCTTTTTTTTTTTACTGTGCGTTTGCTGCAACGAAAGTTCATTGTTCTGTTTAATACTAAGAAGAAAATGCGTGAGTCGTTAACGCAAACAACAGTAAAAAAGGAAACTGGTCAAAACTCTCCCGCACAGACAGTTGATTTCAGTGACCCTTTTTCGTATTTTCAAGCTGAAAAATCTTTGACGGGGAAGTGAGAGAGAGAAAAGAAGAAAATATAATTTTTCAAAGTAGAATATACTCAGCAGAACTTCTATATATATGGGTCTTTCATTTATTCTCTTGTTTCAGTATTACGCTGTTCAGTTCAGCACAAGTTTTTGTTTGATTAGATTCTTTCTTCTGCCAAAGTTCAGTAATTTTTCAAAATATTTTTCGGAGCCCGTATAGTCGTTTTCAGGTAATAGACCACTGAGACCGCATGTATTACCATGTAACATTTTTGGGTGCTAAATTTCCTCTTCATCATTCACGGCGAAGGAGTCTGAGCATACAACCTTCCCTTAATTAACGAGAATTACCATACTGTTACATGACTTTATTTATACACTAAATAGGATTTATTTTCCCACCTATGCAAATCAAAATAATTAATCATCTCAGGTGGTCATAAATCAAACTTCACCGGAGATTCATTTTTACCTGCTTAAGTAAGTAAATCTTTCCGCTGCAAGGGAGAGTAAAAAACGCCAACTGACACTGCCCTTGCGGAAGAGCTATGTATTAGAGCTTTTCAGTAAAAGAAGTGATTTTTAGAATTCTGCTGTTATGGAAAAAGTTATGTTTCTGTTATTTTATGTAGCGACGTTTTGGAATTTTGTCGGAGGGGCAGGTAGGTACCTCGCATTACTGGTAAGTCAAGTAACAACTATAGTATTTTTGCGTTCTTAGAGATGTAACACTGTTTTAGCAAGGTTTTGGAAAATCGTGTGAAATTAAAAATAAACAGGCTTAAAAAATTGTTGCAATGTTACAGTAACAGTTTGAATTAGATTTAAGGTGGTTTCAATAAAAAAGATGGTAACACTTTCTCTTTCGAATACCTGCTTTCATTTGGCACCGTTGACCAAAAAGCTAAGAAAAACGTATGATGAGTGTCCCGAGTATGGAATGAAAAATGTTCCAGGCAAGATCCTAATCAGAATCTTAAAATAGGTGAAATAATTTTTATCCTACGGAACAAAGCTGCTTTTTTTGTCTTAAAACACACAACGTCGAGCAGATACCATTGTTCAGGGTCCAAATGGCTACCGGCCTGGTCTCTTTTTTCCCCAAAGTTGTGAGTTTACAATTCCTAGTCAGAGAAAAAAGTAAGTGAACCGGAAGATGCTCATTTTAAAGGAGAAATCTTTGAGAAATTATCTTACAAAGCCATTCTTGAACTGAAGTGTTGAAGGAGCCTAAAAGGTAGTACTTATAAATACTCTTTACCAAGTGCATTTCTTATTTAAAATTGTGCCGTCTTAATTAAGAAAGTAGTACAAGGCATTAACATTAAAATTTCCCGATGTCTTTTCTTTGTGACAGAGAAGTTTGTATTTTTAAGCATTCAATATTGAGATAAATTAAGCGGCTAATCACGACTTTTCACCTTTTGTATAAGCTTAAATCCCGAAAAAAAACCTGAAAAATTACTATAACGTTTTGTCCCCAAAGTGAATGGTGGCTGGTCAGGTTGGTCGGCCTGGAGCGGCTGTGCAGCTGGCATTTGCGCGGGAAATCAGCGCATTCGAACAAGAACCTGCACCAATCCAATACCAAGTGAAGATGGAGTATACTGCGATGGTGACAGCTCCCAGCAGAAGGATTGCCTAAGTAAGTTTTATGAGAAACTGCCGTAAAAAAAAAAGTGTTTGTCTGTTAATATTTTTTTATGTCTGTTTTCTGCTTACCGGGTTTCATTTGATGATCACGTCAGGGTTCTATCCAGGGTATTTGAGGGGTAAAAGCTTCCCCCCCAAAATGCTCAGCTTCCCCCCAGAAAAAAATTGTTATCAATATGGTATATAGGTAACTACATTGGAAAAATCACCCAGACACGACGAGGTCATTGCACACACTGTAACATTTCTCAAAATTGTGTCCCAAAATGCACCAGATTGTATCTCAGCGCAAATTCATTTCAAAAAATTTCTGGGGGTTGGGGGGGTTCGCCCCCGGACCTCCTAAGGAAGCTTGTTGCTTTCGGCCACTAGGGACTTCTCGTCCAAAAGATAAATCCTAGATAGAAGCCTGCACGTGTTGGGGTAAATCTGGTAGTTCTCCAGTGTTATTTTAGTTACGGTACCATAACAACTCATGTACTTCGGCCTCAGAAAATGAGACTCCGTCTATCGTCCCATGAACTAAGGTAATCCGAGAGAGTGGATTCCGAAATCCAGGCTCAGGACTCCGGATCCCGTGTCAGTGGAAGTAAAAATTGTTATTTGGATTCCAAATTTTTTGAGCCGAATTCTGGATTCCCAAGCAAAGGCCCCAGTTGTTCAAAAGGTGGATGATGCTATTCAGTAGATAAGTGTCTATGCAACAGATAACGCAATTGGTTTCCCTAATGCCCATCCACTGCAAAGTTATTTACCCGACGGATAGCGCTATCCAATGTTTGAACACTCGGGGCCAGGATTTTAAATTCTAGAAGTAAAAATTTCCTTGATTCCGGAGTCCGGATTTACTTATTTGGCGCGTAACCCCCGGGATTGCAATTCAGCCGGCTTAATTATAAACAAATCCGCCCGCTTCGTTGTATTCCTGCTTGAAGTCAAGACCTGGGTTGTTTTTTTCACTGCTATTCGCTAATAATGATTTATCATATTAAGTTATGTTTTTAAAAAGTTTACCTGTGAATAATTAGTTTGCGTACTATAGCAATAACACAAGTATACTTTATACTAGTCAATTAATGCTAATGTTTGACCAAAACCTTTTCTTTCGATTTCTTTCAGTAAGACTACAGTAAAAACACTCCTGACTAGTTTTGCTCTTTATCTGCCTTAATTTCCATTCCCTCCTAAAATATTTTCTTGATAAAGAAACTGATGTTGGTCAGGAAAATTGTTTTATTGCCTCCAACTCTCAACTTAAAGAAAATTAACATAATTATTTGATGTAATTTCAGTCGACGGAGGCTACACAGAGTGGAGTCAGTGGTCACTCTGTGAAAACCCGTGTGGGGGATCTGTAGTCAATAGAAGTAGATCATGCACTAACCCTAGCCCTACCCCTGATGGAAAGCCATGTTCTGGAGACTCATTCCAAACGAAGCTGGAATGCATCTGGCCGTGTCCAAGTAGGTCTAAGGCAATTTTTAGTTGCATTTAATTTTGTTTACTTTAAAAATCAAATTCAACGATAAATTTTCAATTGCTTGCTGTTAAAAATATTTATTCCATGTTGCTGTTTCTGTCAAGTAATAAATCACGGACGACGTCAAAATATGCCAGGAACAAAAACCGGCACGCATGCTGCAGGTCGAAATGTTCTTATTTAACAATTAATGAATGAGGCTGAGTATCTTCATATGATAGGAAAGCCCAATTCAATAATTGTTTTACTATTCATTCAAAATAATCACTAGTTTAAAAACATAGCTAAAACAAGCCTACCTCCATCGATGTTAACTTCATCTTCGATAGTGCACGTTTAGGGTTATTCAGCTCCGCAAATATTCTCCAAATAGCGGATGTCGCCCTTCGAGTTGTCTTCTTGCTGTTCTTGCCATGTTTTTAGCTAGTATTTCGCCTAGTTCTTACTCTTGAAACGAGTGAAATGTTCGCCATTTGTGTTTTCACAACCAAAATAACTCAACTTCGTCCGCAGGTCTTCTCGGTTAACGGTGCATTAACCTGCATGAAGACTGCACTTTTGACGTCATCGGTTCATTAATTGCAAAATTCTTCCATCAGTAGCTGGTTATTGTGAATTATGCGTTTGCTTTTAGCCAATCAAAATCGGGGAAATATTTTGAGTGAATAATAATACATTTTAATACCTTCTGTGATCTAACACTGAACAGACGCCCAGCAAAATGAAAGCTATTCGTTTAATACAATATACAACTGTAAGCGTTAAAAAAGGAAAAAAAAAACATGCCTGCCTAATAATCTTGTTTTTGTTTTAAGAATTGTTCCAGTTTAAGCCAAAAACCTGCGAAAAAAGCCGACATTTCCCAACGCCACTATTGGTTTCCCCGTGATTTATCTTGCTTCGAGAGAAATCTGCTTCAACCAATCAGAAGCTTTAGCCAGATCTGTGAAGTGACACGTCATCAGCATGGAATTTCTAAGCTCGTTCCCAGACGTCATTTCGCGAGAAAACCAGTGGTGGCGTCGAGATATGCTTTGCTGTTTTTCTCAGGCTATTTTGCCAAAGTTTCTTGTAGATCACGCCAAAAAATGAATTTCATATCTCTCAACCAACCAACATGGCTGAAAGCTGAGTTATCGTAAAAAAGGCCAAACACTCTTCCCATAAATGCATTTTATTCTTTCAATTATTTAGCCGGCCCTCTTGATGGTGAATGGGGAGGATGGGGTCAGTGGACACAGTGTTCTAAAACCTGTGGAATATCAGGAGGAAGCATTCTAAGAAGAACAAGATTGTGTAACCGGCCTCCTCCTATGAATGGCGGGAAGCCATGTGAGGGTAACAATACTGAAACAGCGAGATCATGCTTTGCGCCTTGTCCAGGTGTGTAAAAAGCGAGATGATAGTGTATTAGAGTATGAAGTAAAACCTTATAAACTGGGTACGAAATTTTCACCTGTTTGCTCCCGATCGGCTTCGCTGCTCATTCGATCAGAGCGAGGGAAGATCTATTAATCTTTCAGAAGCAAGAGAGGATAAAGGGGACAGATAGGGCATCCCTCATACACACCCTATTCCACAGGTAATTCGTCTAGAGTTATTTTTAACACCACAAATCTCAAGGGGGATTAGACAACAGCCAATCACATAGCGCGAATGTGTTGTGCGTGGATGACCCACGCTCAGAGCCACGCGCCCTTCACGAATTGACGCAGAACAAAATGGCGGAAGACGCGGAGAGCGATATTGCTATTCGTCTTGTCGACGAAAACGACTACAGAGAGATTTCTGCTGAAGCTGTGTCAGCGAAACAGAAATTAAAAAAGAATCGCCCTTCCTCTCTTGTATAGAGCTAACAGCACAGCAGGGAGATCCTTAACACACTGAATATTCTCTCAGGATCATATATAATTTACAGTTTGAAGAGAGTAATTTCTGGTTTGATATTTATTCTGTTATTAGTCTTTTATTATTCAACAAAAATAACACTTGGCGTCCTACTTGCTTTATTGTACAAACGACCGGTTTCAATAGACCGGCGAAATTTCTCATTTTATTAAAGCACTGAGGTTGCGACAACTTTGAGTTAAACTGATTTCATGGGTTGTCAAAGATTCCAGCGATTCCCTTTTCCCAGGTGAGCGCCGACTCATTTCGCTTCAATATTCAGGAATGCTCTCGATCTCTTTACGCTTTCATTGCCTTTCGCCCAATATGTTTTACACGGCGTTTAGTCATGCGAAACGTCCACGAAACATCAACGCAGCACGCGAGGTAACTTTATCCCTATTCTAAAAATAACTCGAGACGAATTACCTATGGAATAGGGTGTGTATGGGGGATGCCTTCTCTGTCCCCTTTATCCTCTCTTGATCAGAAGGCTTGAGTTCTGTCCACACAAGGTCAAGGTTGTGAGCCCGTGATAAGTGGAGTATCAAAGCCGGTCAGCGGAGGACTTTAAAAACACGTCACCTCAATGAGTTGTACACCTAAGGCCCACGTTACAGTCATATGTGACCCTGGTCAGCGGATGCCCTATTTTGACAACAGTCAATTGATCATAACATCTATTTTAGATGTCCAATATCAAGTTGAAAACACAATTTGTATATGCCTTAGACTTTTAAGGCAGTAATTTCACATCCGCTACACATGATGGGGAGGACGTCCATATGGACGATTTTGTCAGAACCAAATCTCTTCGATGCATAGATAACCAAATTTTCTTACCCATAGTGCTACACTGCGCGCGCTTCGCGCGCCCGGGAACTCAGTTGAAATAAGAACTGTTTCAATCTTAGTAAATGGTGGGTTTAGTCTTTGGTCCGCTTGGACGACATGCAGTAAGACGTGTGGGACTGGATCGCAGTCAAGAAGAAGAACCTGTTCCAACCCAGTCCCTGCTGATGGAGGCCAGAATTGTACCGGAGAATACGAGCAAGCAAAAAGCTGTAAACTGACTTCCTGTCCAGGTAAGTATGTTATGCTGAGCCTTGTTTCACTTTTAAAATGCTTTCTTTTTCGTGAGCCGGGTAAAAAAAAACGCTGACATATTTTCTTTAAACAAGGCACTCGTCATTTGTTAAACCGCTGTGATACAAGCTGGAACAGATGCTGCCTAGTAAATCACCGTCGCAAATTTTTGTTATAACGCGTACCTTTGCGAACAGAGGAACATGCTGCACTTGTTATGGCGTTGTACGATTTTTTCTTGTGTTGCAAGAGCTTGAAAAAGGAAAGAAAACTTGTCGAATATAACAGGGCCTTTTTATGTCCAGAAAGGTTTTTTCTGTTCAGGCAAGAAGTTGACGAACATAAAGAGCGTCGCAACTGATCAATTTCTAATCCGTCAATTTTCTTTTATGAAATCTTGTAATAGGCGCTGTCAATGGAGGGTGGTCAGCGTATTCAGCCTGGGGCGCATGCTCCGAACCTAAATACTGCTTGCAAGGCGTAAAGAAAAGAACTCGAACTTGCACCAATCCTCCTCCGGCGAATGGTGGAGATGAATGTGGGGGACTGGCAGTCGAAGAAAAGAGCTGTCCTACTCAGGCTGAAGGATGCACAAGTATGTAGTGACGAATAACTTAATCACTCTTAACAAAAAGTAATGATTTAGAAATGGCTTTCTATAAATGATCCCGTACCTCTCCTGTAAAACCATTCTCAAAAGAATTGTCTGTAGAGAAATTTGAATAAGAAATTTGAAATTTATTATTTATGAATGTGAAAAAATTCATATATGCTCATAGACCTTTCGGAACAAAGCAGCAAGCTAGCAAGGTACCTCAGTTTCTTTACGTTGTCGTTGTATCCAGCACAACACCTTACATCTGTGCTGCTGAATTATTCTTAAGATGGTCCCTTTTGAGCGTGTACTCTCATAAGTAGTATAGTGGGGGCCGAATTTACCCCTCTTTGCAAAGGAATCACATTACTTTGCGGAGAAATATATTAAAATTCATGGTGGTGGTGAAGAGAAACAACAAAAATTAGGAGAAGTGATGAGGAGAAGGAGGAAGAGAAGGGGGAGGAGGCATTAGAAATTTAGAAATGACGAGGGGGAGGAGGGAAAGGAGAATGACTGTAAACAATGAGGAGAAAGAGGAGGAAGAGGAGGAAGAGGAAGAGGAGGAGGGAAAAATAGAAAGTTCGTACTGGAGGTGAAATAAAAAAACTGAAGAGGAGCGAAATGACTGAATTGGGTGGAGAAGGAAGGGGTGTGGGGTTAGTAAAAAATAGTGTTTAGTCCCACAAAGAGCTAGTTTGCCCCCGAACTCATTAACATACACTTTTTGGGCGCCAAGAATCAGTGAACCGGAATTGAAATAAGTCGTTGTCTGTAATTGACATTGGAAGCAGCAGGAAATTGAACTTCTAAAATTACCTCGCGAATCAGTGGTTTTGAGTAATATAACAGGCGAAACTTATAGCGCTTATTCCTTCGACAACATGGACCAACAATGAAAACCTATCTTAACTTCTAGTCAACCAATCAAAACGCAAGACATTCATCGAACTTGAAATAACCAGAAAATCTGTTCAACCTATTAAACCCCCCGAAATAGATTCTCCTGCATTTATTCATGAGATAAAAAGACTAAAGACTATGACGTACATTATTGGCGTTAGTGTATTCCTCCGCGGAGTAATGAGATTCCACCGCAAAAAGAGGTTAATTCGCTCCCTACTATACTACTGTCATAGCTTCATATATATTATTATATATATTAGCGTTATGGTATTTGTTGAGCTTTCTTCAAGAAAAAGTATGATCAAAATGTTCACTTGATAAAAACCAGCTCGTGGACTGTTGCTCTCTCCGTAAAACCTCCTTCAACATATGTTAAGGTGAATTTTTCTTAGCTCATAACGTCATGTAACCTCCTTCCTGACGGTCATGAATGATCAGAAAGAGATCCTGAGAACGACGTTGAGCATCACGGTCATCAAGCAAAACCGTCTTAAATCCCACTCTAAATGACAATAAAGATATTGATTTTGACGACTAGACATTTATTTAAAACGCTCCTTACAGACCAAACCCATTTTTACAAATTTATTTTTGTGATTTCATCACCTGAGAGCATGATTTTGATGCTAATGGAAAGGCGTTACTAGGTCCAGTACCGAGGACGAAATCACTTATAGTTGAGAGCCATTTAATACATAGACTAATGACTTCTCATCCTTTTTAGCTTATCAGCCGAACAAGCCAGATAAAACAGCAACTGACCCCAACTCCTGGATAGCTCTGGAGTGTGGAGCAACGGAGAAGTTTTCAGCCACAGGATCTTACAAACAAGATGTTCCTTATGCTGTGTATTCAAACTTTAATTTCATGCGGACTGAGCTAGAGAGTGGATGGTTTGCAATCCAGTTAGAACCAGATGATAAAGATGATTATGGAAAGAAGAAGCTTACCAAGGTTGGCAAATCATCCTGATCATTCAATCTTACGATGAACTTAATTTAAAAATGGCCGGTAAAGGCGCGGGTTTGCCGTGAGAAATCAGTGGTTATTTATCATTTACAAAAGTTTCCGAAAAATCAAGGTAGTAAGTAAATAGGCCATGACGTTTCTGACGTTGCTCTCCGGGAGCAACCTTACGGAACATACAGAAATTCTTGTTCCATTTTTTCAAAGCTATCTTTGACAGCAGTTTTCAGTTTTGTGGACATTGTTAGTTTTGTTTACCCAATACAGGTCATGTGATAATACTCTAGGGAACTGTTTCTTTCAAATTTAATCTCGTCCATATGTACGCATAATTTACTAACGGATCGGGCAAAGGGTCAAATTCCCCTGGGAACTCTATTGGGAAAAGAAAACATATCAGTTAAAGAGGTCTATTTGCACAGCTAATAAACGCGATTCCGGAACGAAATTCACCAGTCCTGAATTTTGCTTACCATTTTACCAAACTGTGAAACGATCGGGATGAAAAAGTGTCTTCCCGCTCACAGATAGTTCTTCTTCATTTATGTTGATATTTAATTTTTGAATTATTTGAACTATTTGCACTATTTTGAACTATTTTTAATTTTTGAACTATTTTAAGTCATAAGCTGAAAGCGGTGTAGTTTTTAGCACATAAATCATGTTCTGCAATGCCTTGGCTAGTCTTCCCAAAGAACATACTCGAATTTTTTCATTCTTAACACTTTGCTCTTTTTTATTTAGGTTTGCTTTGAGATCATTGACCCACTGACCATCGGCAAAGTTGTGTCAAACAAAGCTACCTACTACTCAAAGATCGATGCCATTCCAGAATGGACTAAACCCGCACTAACCGAGAATGTTCCTGCCTTTACCATTTGGATTGACGAGGCTCAAACTCTTAGAAAGTACGAGTTCCTCTGCGCAAAATCAGATGAGTATGTTCCGTTCACCGGATATGTTGTGACGAAAGTCAGGTAAGCTGGGTAATGTCTCAGGCCGCTCTCAAACGTGTTAAGTACATAAAAATGGAGAAACGATACAAAACAATGGAAATAGTCATTTAAGTTCCGATTGAGTTGATTATTTGTCAGTCTTGTAACACTGTAGTATATTACAACAGTGTGGTAAATAAAGGGTTTACCTTCTCTACTAGACTCCTTGAATAGAGATCTTGTTCGCAAGGTGTTCATCCATCCATCTATTTATGTATCCAGTTCTTCTTTTCCTAGAAGGCACCGTGTCCGAGTGGTCATAGAGAGTCATAGCGACTATACCTCGTTTTTTTTCTCTGTAGACCCGATTTAAAAGTCTCGGTCAGGCTATTTGCCTTCGACCAGTTGGGGCTTTTAATTCTGTTATGTTAGCTACAGCTGCTAAGTCTACTTCCACTTTAAATGTAGCATTTATTTATTGTTTTGTTTTTAGCCTTCTTGGATCACCATAAACCCGCTGGTTCAGTTATCTGATTGGCCCTACTAGCGCTTGTGCTACATGAGTGCCGGGAGAAAATAAAGTTAATGTCATTTACTATTCTTATTTTCTAACTTTCGACCATAGATTCTCCTACTACACCGAGGGAAATTCCCAGACGTTTAAGGCTAAGGGTGACCACACTTTAAAGTCGGGAACTGTGTTTAAAACGGAGGTGAAAAAAGATCCGTTCACTTTAGCTGTCTACGCGAAAGGAACTGCCTCCTCGGTGACCTTCAAAGACATCATGGCATCTTTTGGACTGGATCCAGCAATTCTACCAGATTTTTTTGTCAACGCTTTGAAGTAAGCTGAGCTGAAGAGTGAGTTTTTTCCATTTTTTTTTTATACGGCGTTCTTGACACGGGATGCGGTACTGGGAAAGAAAACGATATTCGAGATAGAAATGGCAGAGATTTGGGGTGCGAGATTGTCGTGAAAAGGGAGCGGGAATGAGGGAACAGCCCTCATTCTAAAACCTGCTTAAGATATAATCTCTCGAGATTCGAATCTATAGACACTGTCAGGCTTTCCAAATAGAACTGTTGAAAGATCATATCACGTATAGCTTTATCTGGTATTAAACTCATCAAATCTTAAATCCCAAGTTTCTCCACGTTATTCCTTGGAATGGGATCCCTATTTTTGATTGTAAGGATTTTGTACCTCTTACTTTTGACTCAAGTAAAAGCCACCGAGTGGAATGTCCTGTTATTTTCATTTGTAAGCTTTCTTAATAGCAGGGAAAAGAAATTTAGCTAAATCTAGTACGCACTTAGGCCACTTCCGAGTTCTAAAGCCCCCACTTTCAAAATGAGGCTAGGTGCACAACCTTTCTTTGAAAATGTGTTTTATTTGCATGAGAATGGAAAATGATTTCCATATCAAAGGCTGAGCACCTACCCTCGTTTTGAAACAGAAGCCCGGTGGAACTCGGAAATGGCCTATTGAGTGAAATGCATGAGTGAAGCTAGTATAAAAAAACACCTAAAACAGCGAAGGACGATACAAAAAATAAAAAGGAGGCACGAGTGAACAAAGGTAAAGAATAAATTATAACTGACAGTAACTGTGTTCTTAAACTCTATCCAGCCTGTCTTGTTTGTAGCTGTGAATGGCATTTTCGTTTCAGTGAAATGGTTGACCCCAATACATTACAACCCATCATTAAAACTGTGGTCAGTGACTTTAACCCTTTAAGTCCCAAGAGTGTCCAAAGTCAATTTTCTCCTAACAACATCATTATATAATCAAGAGAAATGTTGTGAGAATTAACAACAAAAAAATGATCACCTGATGTTAAAAGTTTTGATCTACAAACAAATTCTCTTAACCAATTCTTTAAGGAAATGTATGTAGATCTGTCTGGAGAGTTTGTATGTGGATATAATGGGGCTTAAAGAGTTAAAAGGAACCTAATTTCAGTCTATTCTCATAGAGGAATAGGTCTCTGGGACTTCACCATGGCACCTGCAGAATTAGTACGAAAACTGGAAAAGGGTGGATTGACACGATTCACGGCCTCAATAAGCGCAGGAGGCGTCCCTGTTCACGTGGAGATTCTGGCTGGAATAAGGTTTGGACGACCGCAATTTGCTGTAGGATTCAGCTTTGACAGTGAATCATATGGAAAGTTGGCTGAGAAACTCTCTGGGATTGGGGTCGATTTTCTGGACAAACTTGGATTTGAGCTGCAGGTAACTCTGATTTGCAAAAATGCTCTCATTTGAAGAAAGCATAATCAGAGCATGCGCGAGCGCTATTGGCTAGGCAAAGGGGTCAACGTTTTTCTCCTAAAGGCGCTAACAAAGGTTATCTCGTCTTAGAGGGTGACCCTCTTTCTCGGGACAACTTTTCTCCATTTAAACGAGTTCTAAGAGTAAATTTATTTGTAACATACGCGTATAGCCGTCGCCTTTGCCCGTTGGAATTCTTTCTTGTTTTCGAGCTCAAAAACAATGAATCTGCCTTTAATGTTTCCTTTTACCTTTCAACCCTTCACAGATCGGAGTAGCGTTCAGTCCTCCAGAGGTCTTAGGATTCCAGCAAGTTTTAACCGATGAAGAAACCAAGTTTTCTAAGGATCCACTTAGCAGCTACCACACTGTTAGCGTTGTTCAAGGTTCGTTAAATTACGGCGTTAAATTACAGACCTTAGCTTGATACCTCCCAATGTAATGGTTTAGGCGTGATTTAAGTGATTATGTTAAGCTGGAGGTTTCTAACTTAAAGCGTCACTCACTACTATTCAAAATGCAATGGTGACAAGTAACTTTGAAATAAATTCTAAACCGAGCGTTAACTGTAAAAGAGTATCTTTATTTCGAACGATGATGATGATGATGATGATGATAACAATAATAATAGTAATTATAATAATAACAACAATAATAATAATTTCTTATACTTTTCATCTATTGTAGGCATTTTTTTACGTCATTTGGTACTTTTTTAAAAAAATGGTTATACACGATATTAAGATTTTAAGACAGAATCCATTAGGAAATCGAGTAATCTTAATTTTCAGAGGACAAAAACCTTGTACCAGAATATCCTGTGTTTTCTCATTTCCTGTGAAATTTAAATTTTGTTTTCTCGGACTCCCATAACAAATTGTCGTTGGTGTTATAGCTTGTTATTACAGATAACTAATCATATCTGTGCTCCTAGAAAAGTGTGAAAAAAAATGCACTGTGCTTTAAATTATTCTGGTACAAGGTTTTTGTCCACTGAGAATTAAAATTACTCAATTTAAGTCTTGATGGATTCCGTCTTAAGGTATTTTCCAGATTTTAGATGTAGTCCAGTTACAGGCTATGCTATGCACCCGGTGTGACTATTGTTGCACTTTAGGGCATTTGAAGTTTTTACTTCCATAATAATAACGATGATGACAGTAATAGAAACGATACAGTTACATGAGTGAATAAAGCCTCAACTGATCAAGCTTTTAACCTTTCCCTACCACCAGGTATCACGGCGGTAGCACAAATCGTTCTACCCAAGGACTGTAAAGGAAATAAATTTTGCGAGATTTGCAAGATGATTGTAGGGCCAACAATAAAATGGTACATCGCCGGAGAGTTTCAGTGGAGGAAAATCAAAGTCGCAGTTGGATTCAAAAACATTCGCCTATTTGCTGGGTTGTACTTTCATAAACTTGAGCTCTACGTTGAGGTCAGTTATCGAAAGCAGCTGAGCCAGCACACTTTCCGCAAAATGTCCGTCTATTTTGCTCAGAAAAGACTTTAAGCCTAGAACTTAGACCCAGTACTGTTATATTTTATGGGGGATGGGTATTTTTAGTATTTTGATCAAAGCTTTTATAACCTTAAAGGGGCCGCTGTTTTAGGTCAATACTATCAATGCTAAAGTCATTGCTTAGTGCCTTTACCCATACACAAAATCAGCTTCAGTCTGTAGAATTTTTTAAGAAGATACCAAGTGAAACAAATTTCATCAGAGAGCAATTTTTAGGTGATTTTTGCAGGCATAGTATTAAAACTTGCAAAAAGTATCCCAGCCATCCGTAGCAACAGACGACAGGAAACATTCTCGATGCCTAAATATAGTCTTAAATAAAAAAACTAAACCATTGTTTTTGGACTTCAATTGGTGCGAAGACGCGTTTTAGCTTTTTAAAAAGATATTATAACATAGCGCGCGTGCTTGCCCTATATAAGTCCTATTGAGCCGCTATGAACAAAATCTTTATTTACGCACGCCCGTGCGTAAATAAGATGACGTGAGCATTTCTTTTTACTTGGCTGCAAAGTTGTCGTCTTTTAAGCTGCAGTTCACTTTTCCTTCTCTTTAAAATATGGAAGAAACCAGCGAAGAACTGCCCAATTTTTCTATCGGCATTGACCTTTTAGATCCTGATCCAACAAGCAGCAAAAATAAAGCCGAATTAAAAAAAACTCGCAAGTTGCGCGTTTCGCAAATTTGTCGGAAGACCAGCTGCAGCACATTTTGGCCAAAAGACATTCACTGGGAACAGAACAGACACCAACTGGTCATCAAGAACATTTAAGGGTAAAATTTCCGTTTTTATTGTTGTTTTTAACTTTGTTACGCACTTTTGTTATCTCCGAACAATCCGACTGAAGCAGGAAAATTTCTCTCGCAATAACAACGCAAATTACACAACAAGACATAAATTTATTACTCACAAAAACAACTGCTGCCAGGTCTTCTCAAGAAGCCGTAATGACCAGCCAATGCTCGTAAATGAATATAAGTTTAAAGAAGGATCATCTAGCCGTCTTCGCTAAAAACATGTTTTCTGGATTTCGCCGAGCAAAACGTAAACATCTTTTCAGCAAATCCAAACCATACTCCACGACTTCTTACGAACATGTTAGTATTTTAACTTTAGGTGAACTTTAAGACTCTTTTACCTTTGTTTCTGCTTAGTTTCCATTGATCGTTAACGAATAAAGAAGCAAATTTTCTTTCTCACTTTTACAGAAAGAACATTTTCATTCAAACTAGACGATTGTGGCGTGTTCGTAATCAGCCAATAGAACCGTTTGTTATTGTGTAGCGCGTTACGAGAATCTTGCAGTTAATCAAAAAGCAAGCATTTTTGTGAGCTATGTTATAAAAGAATTTGCTCATGCTTTTAGCTGTGCGTATATCGAGTTATGGATGCACTTGGGAAGTTTGGAGAGCACTCAAGAAGCTAGAGTTGCACTCGGCTATCGCCTCGTGCAACTCTTACGCATCTTTCGTGCTCTCCAAACTTCCCGCGTGCATCCATAACTCGATATACGCACGCAAAGCATGAACAAATTCTTAAGTAACAGCGTGTAAGTCCCTTTAAATTCATAACGGGCTAATACGATTCAAAATACAACGTAGACTCAGCTCCGGCTGGTTGCAAATTTTTAACTTTCACTTGGTTAACTTGTAAAACTTTGCATAGCAATTTGTGACAACACGACCGTATTTTGACCGTATTTTGTGTAACTGCTAGGAAGAGTGGAATTACTATAGATAGTCTATAGAATCGAAAAGTCTGAAAAGCAGTTTTGTTTCTGCAATACGATCGATCTTCATGAAAGAACAACGGCCCTCTATCTGGAAAGTCCCCGGACAACCCTTGAGCGTTGGCCTATATGCAGTGATATTTTTTCTTTTTGCTTGTTCAATTAAGGCGGACTGGAATTCGACAGCTAAACACATCAAGTTGGGATTCCGTGCAGATATCAAGATTCCTGTGAATGGCGATATCTACCGTGATGGAATCAGAGCTCCTAACAGTGAACTGTTTTTGTTTGGTGTGTTGGAGTATGATTTTCTACAACAAATAGTTTCAGGAAAACTGGGCATGCGTGGAATATGGAGAAAAGCCTTCTTCATACCCTTCCTTGGCATTGGAAACATTTTCCTCGGGTAAGAAACACAATGTTGATTATTATCTCTTGAGATTTCTGATATAAGTATGATAAAGTGTAGCCCCATCGCACAAGCCTTGCGTACTAGAAATTTTTTTTGGAGCGTGAAAAAACCGACCAACTGTTCATAAAGAGTAGGGGACCTAATCCCTAGTGTGGCGGTCTTTCCCAATTTACCACTCACAATAGGGGGCATTCATAACTCATTACTTCTAGACTGCGCTTAAAACAGTTTGGCAAAAGGGTACAAGTCCAGGGCCCGGTTCCTTGAAAGATAGTTAAGTTTAAGGTGTTTCGATATAGTCTTTCAGGGGCCATACCGATATTTTTCAATCGATTTAAAAGTGATTTTATCCTTGTCTGATCGCTATAAATGTTTTACCAATGATTGACTATAGATTGAAATTTGTCAAAATGTAGGTTTTAGTAAAACCGATATTACTATGACAACAATAAACAAGACTGTTTGAAATTGATAAACGCCTACTTTTACGCGATCTAGACCAGCTACTGAAAATCCAACACTAGGAACTTTTAAAAAGTTTGGTGTGTAGCAAAAAACCTCCGTAAGAAGTAAAAAATTCTGTATGTTTGAACTCGACTAAAACGAAAATATATTTCAAACCTAAAATTTCCAATAGCCGTGATAGGTTATTTAATAAAAAATTTGTAAATGATTCAAATTATTCTTAAGTAGCGTCAGAATGCTGCTTAATATCTTATTTTGATGCTAGGGAATTTTGGTGTATTTTCGTTCTTGCGATCTTAAAACTAACCCGTTTTCTCAACACCTGTGCATGTCTAAGTGCAACTTCATTCACAATTTGGACTTTTAGCGCTTCTTTGTACTCTCTGAAACGACTCGAATTTTTAAAAATCTCTTCACATAATCTTCATAATGTATATAATTATGTCTGAAACTTTCATTAAGGTGTCTCGACTGGATTTTTTGGTGGGGATACCTCCTAAGTTTGACCATTAACTACGTCGCCATGAGTAAAGATATGGAAAAAAGATTACCACAACTGTATTTTATAAAAATGAAAATTTCTTATGATCTGGGTTTTATTGCAATCGGAGTCGCCATGGCAACGTAACGACGCCATTACGTTTTTTATTTATCTTTGTGTTTCTCTGTACCAAGAGTTTTTTTAAGAAATCGCTTAAGGGAGTTTGTACCTTCCATAATTGCCTCAATCGTCTATAAATATATCCTGCAAGTTTTAAGAACATTGAAAACAGAGAAGTCTTTCAAACAGGGCCTCAAATATAACCAATTTTCCCCCCAGATTTTGTGTTTACAAGTGAGCGTCCTCATTATTCACTGGTATTGTTTCCACGTTTCATATGCACGTGCCCAATTAGCAAAAAGATAGAATTTGCATCAAAAAGGGCCCTCGGTTAAATCTCCCGAATATGCTAATAACCGGGTAAAGAAATTAGTGATATTTTATAACATCACAGCAACTCTTTGTAAGAGTTTCTGTGACGTTATAACCCGAGTAAGATAACTATTAAAGTATTGCATCCTACACGATGAGCCGTGATGTTCGTGATGCTATCTGTGACACAAGCCAATTATTAGCATATTCCGGAATTTCTTCCGAAAGTAATCGAGAGTTCTTTTTGATGCAAATTTATTTCTTTTTGCTAAATGTGCACGTGCATATGAAACTTGGAAACAATACCAGTGAATAATGAGGACGCTCACTTGTAAACACAAAACCTGGGGGGGAAATTTGTTATATTTGAGGCCCTATTTAAAAGCCTTCCCTGTTTTCAATGTTCTTGAAAGTTGCAGGGTATATTTATTGGCAATTGATCTCGGGATTGTCAAATTTATAAAAGAAATTATCGAGCGGTTTTTTGAAAAATGCGAAAATTGTACGCATGGGCCAAATTACGTGCAAAAACTGTAACAAAAGCAGCTGAATGCAAGTTACTAAAATTCTTCTTACTCGCGATCTCCCAGAGCAATTCCCCTCTTTTCTTGTACGCAGTTTTCAATGGAATCAAACCACTATGAGATGAAGCCGTGTTTCCAAAGCTTATCATTTTCTTTAAAAAAATAGCCAATAATTGTGTGGATAGCATGCTGTTTCACTGTTTTTATGATGCTTAAAACTTTGTTTCAAAATATCTCGAAAACGCTCTCATAGAATTTGTTTAAACGTTGCCATAATTGAGGCAATTATGGCAGGTACAAACTCCCTTAAGCGATTTCTTAAAAAAAACTCTTGGTACAGAGAAACACAAAGATAAATAAAAAGCGTAATGGCGTCGTTACGTTGCTATGGCGTTTCCGATTGCAATAAAACCCAGATCATAAGAAATTTTCATCTTTATATAATACAGTTGTGGTAATCTCTTTGCCATATCTTTACTTGTGGCGACGTAGTTAATGCTCAAACTTGGGAGGTATCCCCTCAAAAAAATCCAGTCGAGCCACCTTAAGATTGATTCACTGCAACACCTTGAAATTTCAAGACATACCTATCCTACCTACCGGTCAAAAATCCGCGCTACAACATTCACTGTTTTGACGTTGTAAAAATTCTTAACAGATAGTGTTTTTTTGAAAGGTTAACGTACAAGGTTGGAGCGCCGATACCCATAACTGGAGTGCAGTTTGGAATGAGAATAGAATTCGGATATAATTGTCTTACAGCAGCGGATTTTAACGATCAGGTAAGGATGAGATAATCGTAAGGAAACGGATAACCATAACTTTGAAAACAGAAGATCACCATCACATTTGTATCATTTCGCAACGATAACTTTGTTTATATTCATACATAAAAACAATTCATTGTTACCTATAACTTCCTTTTACAAGTAACTGCGTTTCGCATTTTTACTCATAGCTCCTAAATAACCACCTTGTTCTTAGATAAGCATCTTTGCATTTAAATGGTTATAGTTCACGCGCTATTTTAAGAAAGTCACCCTTGCTCTTAAATAGCCATGCTTACTCTTTTATTAGTGACGACATTTGCCTTAAATACCACCTCTTCAATGTGATTTTTCGCATTGGCAGAGAGAAAGATAAAACAAGTAGTATGCGCGTAGTTCTTAATGGCTTTGAGAAAAGGAAAAATTTCAATGACAAAAATCGCATTTACTATTCGTCTTATCTTACTCTTAAAAAATTATAAAAGAGCTATTTATGGATGCCATCTTTGAGCATGGATCTTCGCGTTATTTCATCAGTAGGTTGGTGTTTGAGCTGTTACTTTTGCGCTGTGAACAGTGAAATATTCTGAATTCTTGCGTTAGGGTCATTGTTTTGGTGGCAGTGGTTATTTTGGTATAGGAGCACCTCAGTTCTTCTACGTTGACATCACCGCACTTACTCTTGGGAAGATCTTCAGACTGCTAGGAGCAAAATTCCAGCTTCCGGAACCTATAGCAAAGACGGGATTCCCAGAAGGCGCTTCGGTAAGTACCTGCACTTGATTATTTCGTTCATTTCTTTAGATATTCAAACACAGCGAAGTAGGTCGAAAGAAACACCACAGGTACCCGAAGCTCGAAACTTGCGTCACAGCATTTGCATGGATTATTTCTGTAGCCTACAAATGTGAAAGGATTTTAAAAAATTCAGCTAACCTCACTTTTGTTGCGTATTCCTTTTTTCCTGTGTGGTTTCCGAGCCGATCTAGGGCCATTGGTAATGGTTTTATTGGAACCGGTTTTTGGAAACAATTATATAGAGTACAAATCGGTTCGAATAAAACAAAACCCATTAAATGGAAATAAATCAGCGAGGCAACCACACAGGGAAGAATAAGGACACCAGTTAAGTAAAGTTGCCGACTTTATTCAAATCCCTTTACATTCGTGGGTAACAGAAATGCACATAACTCGGACTTCGGTTGGTTTTCACTAGTGCGCACAGTTATTTGTACGGAATTCCCTTATGACTTCATGTTTGCTAGAATAGACCTTTTTACCGATACGGCGGCCATATTGAATAAGGTAGATTTAAGGAGTATTATGGGATGTCCAGGGGGGGCATGAGTACATTCCGTTAAGTATTTACGAGCGCCTGTTGAAGATTGTAATGGGAAAAAAGATCGTTGTGCCGTGTTAGGATGTAATAATGATCGCCTTCTTCCTAAGAAATATACAGAGAAAGACCATATTTCTAATACTAAGCGAGTACAACGGATAGTGCTCATGCTCCCTGGGCATCCCATAATACTCCTTAAATGAAATTAATTCAATATACGGGCCGCTGTATCAATAAAAAGGTCTATTGCTTGCGTTTCGGTGAGGATTAGGGATGGCTGACATTTCGTGATGTCTGTCATAAGGGTATGAATCTTTCTGCATTTTTGGACATAACTCAAGTTTTGAACATTTAGAAACGTTATAACAAATTTGGTTGTTTTAGGTTTCGTACGCTACAGATGCCATCGATCTTCGTATCGCGGGTGGGCCGTACATTCTGAAGGGATTTACCATGAAAGGAAGACTCAACATATTCGGATGGTCAATATTTGCGCATCTTAAATTGTCGGATGAGGTGAGATAACTTAAGGTGTTTCGATACAGTTTTTCAGAGGCCATACCGATATTTTTTAATCGCCTTAAAAAGTGTTTTTTCGTTGTCCGATCGCTGTAAAATTTTTTCTAGTAATTGGCTATGGATTGAAATTTGTGAAAATGTAGTTTTAAGTGAAATCGATATTACCATGACAACGATAAACAAAAAACTTCGAAATTGATAAAAGCCGAATGTTGTGTGATCTAGACCAACTACTGAAAATCCAAGACTAGAAACTTAAAGTTTGGTGTTTAGCAAACAATCTGCGTAAGAAGTAAATAATTCTGTATCTTTGAATTCGACTAAAACGAAAATATGGTTCAAACCTTAAATTTTCAACAGCCGTGATAGGTTATTTAATAAAAACGTTATAAATGGCTCAAATTATTCTTAAGTAGCGTTAGAATGCTGGTTAATGTCATATTTTGATGCTAGGAAATTTTGGTGGATTTTCGTTCTTACGATCTTAAAAACTAGCCAGTTTTCTCACCACCTGTCTAAGTGCAACTTCATTCAAAATTTGGACTTTAAGCGCTTCTTTGTATATCTCTGAAACGACTCGAAGGAATTTTTTAAAAATCTCTTCACATAATCTTCATAATGTATGTAATAAGGTCTGAAACGTTCATTGAGGTTTATTCACTGCAACATCTTAAAATTTCAAGAAAAAACTATCCTAGGAACCTGTCAAAAATCGGCGCTACAACATTCACTGCTTTGACGTTATGTTAATTTTTCCAAAATAATGCGCACTATAATCAATCATTGGTGAAAATTTTATGCAATGAGACAAGGATAAAATCACTTTTAAAGCATTGAAAAATATCGGTATGGCCCCTGAAAAACTATATCGAAACACCTTTGACTCTGAAGATGACTACCCCACAGGTAGTCGAAACGTCAGTCACTGTCAACAGCAACAGTCCTATTCTGGACTTCTTTCACCCGGACGGTCAAACTCAACCTACTTTTGAAATGACTCCTGGGTTCAAATCTTTCACAGTTAAGACTTTATCTTCATGAGTTTTATCAGAATTGTGTTATTTTATTCGTCTTTGTGTATAAGCTATTCTATGACTCGTTTTAACAAAGCGTCATTTTTTTTCTTTTTTATTCCAATACTAACAATAAGCAAGTAAATCGTAAAAAAAAAAAAATTAAAAAAAATAAAATCGTAATGAATACTTCGCTGGTGGTATGTTTATAAACTGTTCTTGCTAGTTTACAGTCACTCCACCGAAATAAGAGATCAGGAATAAAAGACCTGACTGGTGCAAACACAGGGCTCGGGTAGCGGGATGGGCTGGAAGGGGCAGGCTCTTCCCACTTTTTGAAAATGAATAAATAAATAAATTTAAGTGCAGTGGAACGTCGATATAACTAACGGCTAAGGGACTGGCAAAATATTTTCGTTATAACGAGGTTCTTTTCTATATATTTTACTATTTCTGGGGTTAAAAAAGTTCGTTATATCGAGAACCTCGTTATATCAAGGTTTCACTGTAATGTACATTTTCATATTAAAAGTATTTTTGCTGGAATAATCTCAGTAAACAAAAAAAAAAAAGGAAAGAGAGAAAAAAAATAAGAGAGAACGGACAAATTTGCCCCCTCCTCCTCCCTACTTCAAAAGAGATGGTCACCAGCCTCCACACCCTAAAAACTGCTCCGACAACAAATGCCGTTTCAACTGCCGATGAGACGATTCTAAAACTCTCCTCTTTGACAAAAAACCTTAGTATTACTTGCTTCTGATTCACCTACTTCCAATTAGTTTCTGTCTCGCCATCAAGCCTTTATTATCCTTAGAGGCCTTCACACAAAAAGATAAAAGACGAAAAGTTTAATTCAAGTTTAATTTAAGTTCTATTTAATTCAGTTGCTGGATGCTTAAGCAAACGAAGAAATTTGGACTGGCTGCTCCATCACTTCCCCCAATCAAAAGTTTTCCGAGGACGCTTAGCACACTGCAGAATATAGTTTTGCGAACTTACTTGTTTCTTTTTGTCATGAGGTGGAATGTAGAACATATAATCTTTCACAGACGTAACATAACATGGCATACGGAGTGCGTGTTCCAGAAGTATGTGTTGCTGGGTTCTCGCTTTGACAATTATTAGTTACCTTTTATCTGATAGATTAAGCAATGTTAGGGCTGGTTTTAAGTTCGAGCGTCATACTCATGACGATGTAAGTGTTTTTTGGACTCCGCAATTTAACAAAAAGCTTTTGCTTCTGCCCATTTTTCTTGCGATTGGGTCGCCTGTGTATTTTAGTCCTTCGATGCCCCTTAACAACAAAAACATTTAGTTCTTTTGGTTAATTGCTGTGAAGTAAAATTTAGTTAAACAAATTAAAGAAATGCTATTTGACGTTTTCTCAGAGATGTCCGATCGCCGGGACAGTAGTGCATCGTGTTAAAGGTGATTCCATATAAATGTTTTGATCATCTGAAAAGATTTTAAGACGACTATTACATGGAGTTTACCTATTCAACTTGCTCTTAGGACCTTCAAAACCAGGATATATCAGTTGAGAGTTTTACTTTGCAGGCAATCTTTGTGGACCTCAAACCTGATCCAATCAATATCTTGGGCCTTGCTGTTATCGCCCGTAGTCCGAGTCAGTTGGATTTGGGACCTTGGTTTTATATGGATGCCAGAAAGACTCCACTCTACTACGAGGTAACGTACCATCCCTTCCCTTTACGCATTACCAGGACAGTCCCCTACCTAAAAGTTCAATGTAACGAGTGAAAGACGTTCGAAATGACACGTATAAATAAATAACAGGTGTGACAGTCTCTGTTAAACTATACATGATGGTACAGCTTGCTGCGTGCTGCGACAGTATCTTTTTCTTAATTATTTGCAAGCTAACTGAAGGACTGAAATTTAAATACTTAATTTTCTCTCGGCTCTCCTTACGAAACAAATCATTCATATGGAACATTACATGGTTAAGAATCCTAACTGGTGGGAGGCGAACCAGTTGGCTATTTCACAAGCGTGGCTATGGATATATGAACACGAGACTGCCTAGAACAAATCCAGCTTGGGGTCAGGGGAAGGGACTTGAAATCGGAGCCTCCAGATTACAAGTCCCTCGGCCACGCTTCCTCCAGTTTTTGCTTAAATATATTGTTGTGGATTATTCCTTTTTTTATAGGCATATATAGAGGGGTACACCAAACTACTGGGAATCTCAACGTACGTCCGCTTGAACCTGACCATGAGCCACATAGAACTGTTGATTCAAGGAAACTTCTTAAACCTCATCAAAGCTGAACTGTATCTGACAGCTGGTTACAGCTTAACAGGGTTCAGTGCTAACTTCTATGTCAGAGTAACCGTGGACCTCAGCGGTATCAACAAAGTAAGAAAATCACTTAAAATTTCATGTTTGCAGTCAAAATGGAAAAAAATCACTCTTCTTTCTTCCCCCCAAGAGGAGGATGTTTGTTTGTTTTTTGGCGTAATTGCTCTAATTTATAATTTGCACAAAGCATATAAATTATATCACAGGATATATTAATTATTTTCCTGAAGATGTTTGGCCAAATAGGTTTAAATCAAATTTTTTCCTCGTTTATTTTTAACCCACTTCCAGATGTCCCGATAACCTAATGGAACACTGTATCTAGTATTAGATATATAACATGAAGCTCAAAACAGTCATTTCTATCAATAGGCAAGTTTCGTATTCCTGGGCGGTCTAGGGCGAGTGCTTGTTTTCGCGCGAAAGCGAGGCTAATGGGAGTAACTTCTTGGCAAGAAGACAAACAAACATGAGAAAACTGCTGCTGAGTTACCAGAAATTGAGGAAAATCTTAAAGGTTAATGTTTAGATGGGCTCCAAACATACTTATAGGCTTAAGAAATCATTGCTACGTACAGCAAAAGGAAGACCAGCTCTTCGTCACCGAGAAAAACAACGAGCGAAACCAGGAATTTTCCGGAAGAGTGGGTTGGTGAGCAAGTTCAATAAAAATGCGGAGATGGTCTCAAAATCGTCAAAACGTGGTAAAACCCTGAAGCCATTTTAATGTCCATTTTCAGTGATCGTTATAACTTCTTTAAGTAAGCGTTCATTGAAGTGTGGTAGTTATCGAAAAATGCAATTAAGTAAAACAATTACTTTTCAATGAGAATGAAGAAATGATCGTCGCAGTGAACGCAATTTATGCAATTGCGTAAAGAAGCCTGAAAAAAGATTCAGGACTTAAACGGGGCTTGAACCCGTGACCTCGCGATTTTTGGTGCGATGCTCTACCAACTGAGCTATGAAGTCACGGACGTTGGGAGCAGGTCATGATCAATTGTGGTTTGATATGTTCCCGTGAAAGAACTGAGTGTTAATGATATATGAAATAAATCATATATGAACTGCGGAAATGAAATGAGAATGAAGAAAAAAAAAATCAGGACTTGAAGTCCCGAATTTTTTTTCAGGCTTCTTTACGAATTGCACAAATTGCGTTCACTGCGACGATCATTTCTCAGCTGACTTAGCTCAGTTGGTAGAGCATCGCACCGGTAATCGAAAGGTCACGGGTTCAAACCCCGTTGAAGTCCTGAATTTTTTGTTTTCAGGCTTCTTTACGCAATTGCATAAATTGCTTTCACTGCTACTATCATTTCTTCATTCTCTTTTCATTTCCGCAGTTCATATATGATTTATTTCATATATCATTAACAACTATTTTTCAGTTGACATTTTCTAACGGAGCGGATGAAAAATCTTGTGTTTTTGAAATAAACCGAACAAGCACGTTCGGTGGAAAAATAGGTTGCTTTAGCAGCAGAACGAGAACGTCATTCGACGACGGGAAAGCGCACGAAAAGGACGAAACTCGACTTCCGGTGCCCAATTTGCCGCTCTGCCATTGGTCAAGCCAGTTGTTTGATTTGCGCGCGCAGTCGTCAACTAACGTTCCTGTTCTGTTGCTAAATCAGCCTAATATCTATCACGACGGGGCTGAAGTTCTGCATAGATTCCTTGCACTGCAAGGAAGTTAAATCGGAATGGACAAAGGCGATTTGAAAGGTATAAGTTTATTTACACATTTAGCTTACATTGCCTATAAAAACATTCAGCTACATGTAGAAAAACGATCGACGTATGCACATTTCACTCGATTAGAAGTTGAATACAGCCTTATTATACAGATGATAATACTAATCCATTTTACAGATATACACACGAGTAAAACAGGATAATAAGAAGTTTGAAAATAAAAGGGAATCGAATATTGACTTTTAAACATAAGGTTAACTTACCATTTTCAAGCTGAAGTTTACTTCTTCTTTTGGCTTCAGTCGTGGCTGTTTCCATGTCTCTGTTAGTTCGACCAGCTCTTTCCACAGTTTTGCTGTTTGAAACAGATATCCCTTCAAAGTACTGGTAAAGTTTGAGCCTTGAAATCTTATTATTTTCATGATTTGTATCGTTTTCCAACGACTCAGCCACAATTTGCCTATGTATGTTTTGTGTCTTTGCCAAGAAGTTGAGCCGCATTAGCCTGGCAATTATGCTCGTCCCAGGTCCGTTGGGGAATACGAAACTTGCCTATTGTAGCCGAACAATAAGGCTCCTATTTCTAAAGAAGCTACACAATCACCAGAACAAGTTCAGGTTTATTCATCAGGAACCAATAAAGTCAATAAACCATCATTCTGCTTTTTGCCACTCTACAATCTTAGGCTCTGGACGAGGCCGCCAAAGCTGTAAGAGCAGCTTTTGATGCTGCGGAAAAGAAACTCCGGGATGCAAGAAATGACGTCATTGCGAAAAAGGCTGAGTGTAAAAGAACGATGTCTCTTAAGTGTGACAGGTGTAAAGACCTGAAATGTAAACAAGCCGAGCGAAATTGCAAGGGATTTTTGGACAAAGTGGGCAAATGGATTGGTGGCGTCGTCAATGCTGCAGGTAATAGAGAGCTTTAGATTCGAGGACGAGAACGACTACGAGTACGAGATTTCATTTAAAGTTTTTTCGCCTATTGTCAAAAAATATACACCCCGGAATTCTTCATTGTTTCTTTTTTTCACCAGATAAGTTAGAACAGTTATCGTTATTGAAGGAAGTTAAGACCTCTCCCGATTGCAAAATGCTAAAACTTCTAACATTTGATAACTTGTTCTAGCCACTACGACACTCTCGCTAAAAGTCGTAGTGGAATGACAACGGCTACCACGTTTTCCCGCCAAAATGACGCTTGCTCACGCGCAAGCACTACTTACTATTGAGAAAATCTCGTACTCGTAGTCGTCCTCGTCTTAGAATCTAAAGCTCTCTAATTAATGTAGCGTCTTACTTCCGTACGTGTAGGTTGTTGCGTGATGCAAATTTGAGTTAACTTTGGATTTAAGCAAAAGTACGATCAATCAGTGCTAAAACCCACCCGAAGTCTAGAATTAATTCAAGATCTAGAATTTGATGCCCTTATCTCACGATATCTGACATTTACTATTAGCACAAAAATATGAATTCTTCAATGTTACACTAACGCGGACCATGCCAGCGCTCAGCACTCAAACGGTTTTATTGATTTTTATTTTGGGGTGTTAGAAATGAACATGAGATATATGAATAAATTTCATTCCATGGGAAGCGTGTGGCTATCTAGGGACTAATTCATCAAGAAGAATATGACCGTTGATAAAATTCTTGTCCTTTTTTTTTTCTTGCGTAATGTGCAGTATTAGAATTTTGCGTGGCACAATGTTATCTGGCATGTTTGTAATACGGTATTTTATTTTAGCTAACCTTAGAATGTATTTGTAGGAAAGTGGATCAAGAAGACTTTTAATAAGATCGGCAAAGCATTAGCTCCGGTAAGCTTACATTCTAAATTGATTTTCAAGAGTACAGATTCTCCCTGCAGTGGTAAAAACCAAACCATGCCCAAGGGCAGACCTAACGTCTTTAATGGTTGGGGTGTAGGGGTCGGAGCGCTTACTGAGGTGATAAAGGGTATCTTAGGCAAAAGAGGGCCGGGTTTCATGGACACCCAGGGAGAGGCATTTAGTTGGATAGCGACTCGGGAACTGGATTGCAGTTGATTGTTTTTTTGTTGCTTAAACACCACTGATTATAATTTTTAGGTTGGTAAAGCTATCAAGAAATTCTTTAAGGGATGGAGAAAGAGAAGAGAATTGCAAGACATGCGCGATGAAAACTTTGCTTTACACATTCGTCGACGTCGGTTTATTAGCAAAATTATTTGCGAAGGTCTTGTTGGAGGAGGCTGCAGTGGTCAGTATAAGTGAATTCACCACGTTCTTATGTCAAAGAATAAGATTCATAGTAACTGCAACTGGGCTGATTTCCTCTTTTTAGCAAAACGTCTACCTTCGTGTTGTTAAGAACTATTTGACTGAGACTAGTTTCTGCAAAACTGTATAATAAATAAGAATTCGATCTTGCTATATCAGTGCATATTCAAGAAGCCCTGCTTGGTTGAACTGAATTTTAAGCATGAACATGTAAGTAGTTCAAACAGTGCCTAGCTTATGTATGTGAGCCTGAAATATTGTGCGCAGTCAAAGTATAACACTTGTGTTTGTTCTGCCTTGCCCTTCAGCCGTATCTCACCTTTGTGAAGGAACATGCAGAGCCGTGGAGTTTATCGGAAAGGGTCTGTGTAATGTTTTGGATGTGGCTATTGGTTTCCTTAAAGTAGTGGAGACCGCGACGCGCTGGGTTGGCAAGGCAATAAACTTTATCCTCACTGCTTTGTTTAGAATCCACAGGTAACTCTTATGGTTCCTAAATAATCGTTACCACCGCCTCGATCGATGAGTTATTTTTTTTCAGCCACCGTTCGCGTTCTATGTTTTACTGATGAAGGTCGTTATCTGTCTCTTTCTTTGTTTAAATTGATTATCTTTCTTGTGACTTGGCAATTCAGGGATGACAAAAAGTATTTATAGTTGGTGTGTAACTATGGTTAAAATGTCATGTAATTATCCTGCGATAAATATGAAATCATAGTCTCCCATGGGATTTGAATCTAACGGTACTTAAAACTTTTCCTTTTAAAGAAGGGATGAATTCGGAACAAGGACTTGAGTTCACTCCTGGGATCGACGTGAACTCGGGACAACTCGCACAGAAGGCTGTGCGCTGACCATCAGTGCCAATCCTTCTTCCTAAACATAACATCCCAGAATATCAGTTTCGAGAAACGAAACAATCCCCATGGCACTTCCCTGGGGCACTGCATGTGTCCTCAAGATTCAATAGCCTGGTACCAACTGTAACGTTTGTTTTGTTGCCCTACAGCATCAAATTCGAATTTGGTCTGGACGTTTACGCAAGCGGCGGCTTTAAAAACCTAATTTTCAATGCCGCTATTGACTTAACCATATTTGGAAAACGCCTCTATCTTGCCATTGGCTTCAACTTGAACGATCCTGTAGGCAGTATCAGGTTTGGGGCCGACAAATCTACAGAATGGTACAAAGATAAGATGAACAAAAAAGGCGCCACGAGTACTGCAGAGAACTACTATGACAATCCTAATCCATTCGCTGACTTTGAAATGTCAGGTACGCTCTTATCCTCTAAAGCGATGGTGTAATACAATGTTATATACTGATCCCTCAAGAAATAATTTTATTTTCTAAAGGTCTCGAGGGAAAAAGAATGGAAAGCTTATGACGATTCACTGATGAAAAGAAAAGGGTCTGAAAGACCACTTTAGACGTCCAACTTTAATGGAATTGGCTGTGATTACGCTAAGCCTACAACTCGAATCGGAGAGTGTAAATCATACCTGCGACAACTGTACGTCAGTTGCAGGTTTGCTTTGCACGATATAACTTGTGCAAACAGTGATCGACAGATGATAGTACACGAAAAAGTTGTATGACGTTACTTAGCCTGCGTCGCAGGTGTAAAAAGGGGAGGGGGAGGGGCGATAAAAGAGAAAGGGAAAAGGGACCATAAGTGGCGTCCCTTTTCCTTTCTCTTCAGTCCCCCTCCCTTTTCCTCTCCTTCCCCACCCGTTTTGACACCTGCCCTGCAGGCTATACGTTGTGACTTGATGCTAATTATTACTGATAACTTGAACCATTAACCACTTTTGTGTGTGGTTTCAAAACCTATAAGGTAACGAAAGTAGAAGCCTGCGAATACATTTGATCACAAGAACTAGAATTGGACGTATAGGTACGAAGAACAATGATAAGCTTTGAAGTGAAATTGCTGACATCGAAATTTTTTCGGCTCAGAATACTTCTTGATCGAGAATCAGCAGTCGGCAACTGATGACATACGAGGACCTTGCCTTTTTGTGGACTCCAAGACAGATGGTGCAAAGATTAGAGTAACAGGATGCAATGATACTGACGAGAGACAGAACTGGGCTTACACTTTGAAAGGACAAATTATGGTAAGACTGCCCTATTTAACGTCACAAGCGAATACATACATGTAACATGGACGGTGACTAGCTGACGCCGCATTCCTGAATAAAGTCTTTCAAATGAATTTGGGCTCAGGGGCGTGAATTATTTAAAAAATAGCAAAGTATTAAATGCATAATCGTTCTTTTGAGTTTAATTAATAATCGACATGCCACGAACGTGGGTCGAAGAAAAAAGCCTGCGTCCTCGACGGGATTAGAACCTATGACTTCCGTAAACCCGGCGGATGCTGTATCCAATAAACTACAGATACCCAGGAGGGGTAGCATGTTCCAGGCGTTCAGATAGTGGAGTGCACCACCTCTTTGCCAATTTTGCTTGTCGTCTCTCTGCGTCTTCCCCACAATCTGAACACCTGTAACTGGCTACAGGAGGACATGACCATTCATGGAGTTCATATGAGACACACGTTTTACATGGTGTGAGGTATAGCAAAGTTGTGAGCGCACGGTATGGTGATCAAGATGCTCGTAGTGGAGAAGTCTAATCGCCATATCGAGAAAATTTGTTTTTACCATGTCATCTTTTCTTGGACAGATCGCCTGAGCTTTTAAAAATGATTAAGACTTAATTTCCGTTAGGCTGGCCAGAAAAAGATAATAAAAAAACTTACTGTCCAGGTTAGGATGAAAATGTGAAAGGGATACGCAAAATGATTTTTACGTTATGAAATGCCTCATGTAAGAGGTTCTCATCACTTCTATTTATGGCATCCGGCGGGATATTGATGCTAGGAAGTGCGCTATTTTGTCCCATAGAATACTTGGTCAAAGCTTTGTATCGATACAAACGGAGCATCCAAGGGTTCACAGCTGATTCAAAGCAAGTGCGAACCGAGACAAGATGATCAGAATTTTGAGTGTGACCTGGCGGTTAGGTCGATCAAGCGAAGACGAGCCGATATGTGCTGGACTGTGGGTGAGTTGTACCATTGGAAGACACAATGTTGACACTACAATTTGTTTACCAAGAGGCTCTTACAGGAACACCCAACGTCATTTTCGGAAAATATCTGTTCGGAAGACGATTTGAGATCTAGAATTTTCGGAACATTTTTTGTAAAATTTCTTGCTTGCCTGCCTCTCCTACGATTTTCGAACATCTAAAAAATGGTATAACTGACCATTTTTAACGGATATTTACCCTAAAAAGGTCACCTAGAATTTTCGGGAGCCTTTTTTCTGGCTGACATTTTCGAAAAGATAAGTTTTGATCCCTATAATTTTCGATCACTAGACTTTCAGCTAGGAAATCCGAACAGTTAAAAAATTTTTAGGGGATAAAAATACGCCTATATCTATATCGTTTAAATATTAAAATACGTTTAACAATGCTATGTTTTAAGTGGTTTTGAACTATGTTCTCGTTGGGTGTCCCTGCTCTTAGAGCCTTAAAGAACCCGCTTGAAAGTGCTTAACCGTTCTAGATCGAATTGGAATTCGGAAGTGTTGGTTGTTGAGGCCAGGAAGAAAACCTTCCATTTTGGAGCGAAAAAGAGAGCTAAACCCAACGCCAACACCGTGGTCAGGCGAGACAAATTTGCGAATGCTAAGTAAAAACTCAAAGCTAAGGTTTTTACTTTACTTGGTGAGAGTTTAAGAAGTTACCAATACGCCGTTAATTCACTGAATTTTTTGAAAGTTTTCTTAAAAACGGTCTAAGTGTCTGAAAACACAGAAACTGGTGTCAGGACCACCGAGTTTTCAAGGAAAAGAGTTCAGTAATTTGAGAAAAAATAAAAATAAAGTTTCGCTGGTTAATTGTTTTAAAAATACTTACCCATTTTTCACTTACTGACCTGAAATACCAATCAATAATGAAAAAGACGTTATAAACGTTTGACTGCGTTGGCCATACATGCCCTAGATGCCGGAACTCGGCGTCTGCTATCACCACTGCGGTATCTCTGCAGAACTCATTTGCTAATAAAATCGTCAATTTTTTTCCCATTAGGTTCAACCAGCCTGGCTGGGCCGGGCTCTATGGTCCATCTTGGTTCTTTGAAATGCATCCATCCACAGGGGGGAGGAGACAGTGTGTCAGAGGGTGCCAAGTTGCTCATTCATAGTGGATGCAGCTTGAGCAGGTAACAGACACTACCCCACAGTTTCACTGAATCCTAATTAACCTTCTGGAGATTTGACTGATTTTCTGTTACTAGGCTAGAGTTTAAATTGGAGAATGGCAATTTGAAGCATACAAAGAGCGGAAAATGTGTGCGGCCAGCAGGAACAGTTGCTGATGGTGTTGCCCTTGGTTTGTACTCGTCATGTGGCGGCCATCAGTTTAGTTTCACAACTGGAGGATCATTGCAGCACGTGGGCAGCAAGAAATGCATCAATTCTAAATCAGGGGTAAGTAATATGGTGTATTGAGTTGAAATAGCCAGCTGAAGAGGAAAGAAACAGTTAATGGACGAGGCTGAATACAATATGAAGTATTATGTAGATCGAAGGGGAAGACATAATGCCTCCTCGAATCCAAAGGCTGAGGCAGATAACACCTCGGTGCACTGTGTTGGCCATTTACTTAGCAGTTTTGAAATACGAACGAATGTTTTTTTCTTAACTTATTTTTTGTGTTTTCTCTTACTGTCGGTGATTCGCCTGTTTCGTCCTCGCTAAAATTTTCTGTGCTCTGGTAGATACTGATACGCAAAAAATGTTTTATAATTGCTTTCTTTGGGGTTTCAAAAGTTTTACTTAAATCGAAAAATATATCCTCCAGTATCCATTAAAAGCCTAAAAGAATTGCCAATATTCAACGCTTGTTTTCTTTAGAGAATGATCCCGGCCAACAATGACGAAATAGTCCTGAGCAGCAAATGTGAAAATAGCGATAGCTCCATACAAAAGGAACATCTCTTATTCAGCTTTATACCAAGTAAGTTTACTGACATTTATAACATTTCAGGGTGGTATGTCAATAACTGTTGATTCAACATGCTCCACATTGCTTGTAAAGCTTTATACGGAGATATATTAAGGCCGTATATTTTGAGTTGAAATACCTCCTCAGTATAATTGGGCGGGATAGGTGCCTTCAATCATTTCACAGAAGACTAGACTGGGCCTTTTAGTCTACGAATTGCCGAACACGAGGAGCATATGCTGTTGATGAAGGTGGTGTGACATTCAATAAATTTGCTTAGAGTTCGGAATCCGTTATTTTTTGATACTGTTCATCATGGTTTGAGAGACATACCAAGGCGATCTCTCCACTTATCTGTACAAATGGCTGCCAAAGGCGTAGTGCTGGCGGAACTCTGCATGAGGGTGGATGAAACCATTCATTACAATACCGTATTTATTCGATTAAAGGCCGCAGCGTTAATATTTTTAACTTTTCCGATGCGGCGTTTATTTCAGAATCACATTTCTTAAATCATTGACCACAATTTCGATAGGTCATGTACATATTATGTACCAAGGAAAGATATTTTAAAGTTCCACGCTTCTTTGCTGAGATAGAATCGCAGTTGACTGAATGGTGTAGATTACCAAGCTGTACCAAGTTTTTTTTCTCACGTTCCTCGACAAAACGCCGCACTCCACTGATTGGATACGGCGTTTTGCCACCATCTGTGGCATTTAATAGACGGCGGCGTTTAATCGAGTAAATACGGCATGTATTTTAAATTCACAAGCGCCCCTCTCTACCCAACAGGCGATCCATATGTCAAACTGGACAAGTGCGGATATTTTGACCAAGCAAGGCTGGATCAGCGGTTTGAGGTGGTGGATGAGGAAATTGTGAGCATTTGTAGCAAGTTTGCCAGAAGTAAGTTGCATGTATTTTTAACGCAACAAGACCTTACGGGGTCAAGAGCGCGATTTCTTAATTCGCCAATAACGTGCTTTTTTCGCGTGAATCACTTCGGCGAAAGTTCACTATTAGCATACTTTGCTTAAGGAGAACCTAAAAGCCGCGCACATTCGCAGATTAGCTAAAATATATTTAATCATAATTCAGTACGAAGGACAATTTTACAAACATAAACACAGCCAACTGTCCATACAAACAAGACGAATATTTGTATTCTTTTCAGATCTTGCCTTCAAGAAGAAAACGGAACAATCAAGTACTGATTACAATGGTTTCAGTAGCAGAGCTGTCGATGAAAACTATTCAATCTACTATAGTCATAAGACGTGCACGCATACTAAGAAAGAAATGAACCCATGGTGGAGGGTTGATCTGGGCAGAGAATACATTGTAACAGGTGTGTGCAGTAACTTGAAAGGATTGCCTGTGCCATCTTAAATTGCAAGCTTTCTCTTAATTTTTTTTTTTTCAAGTAAACTGTAAAGTTTGCAGAGAGGTACAAGAAAGACGGGAGTAAACAGAGAGTGTCTCTAGCCCACTGTATTTTAAGTTCCACTGTATTTAAAAAATATATCCTTTGCCTTTTTGTGACTTTATCCAGAGAATATTAATATTAAATCTAACATGACCAAAAGCCTGGTTTTCAAAGGTTTCCATCGGCCTTTTAATACCAACGACCAACGATCTTTTACAAACTGAAAGGGAATAGGTAGCTGCGAGCAGTTAAAGCCGTGTGACGTGCTTTTTGTTTCTGACTAAGGAACGAGAGTGGTTGCTGTTAAACTTAGTCAAGTACAATCTAGATGTCTAATAGTCTGCAAAAAATCCGCGAAATGTTCTCCTTCTTGAACAACTAAAATAAACTGATTGCGAATGCCGGAACAGATATAATGTGAACACGCCAAAAACTGGACTAGATATCTTGCAAATTTGATGGTCTTTTGGCCAAAAGAAATCACTGAAACAGACAAAAAAATGACAGATAATGCGCAGAGACATTGACGTCATTTTTCGTGTTTTTCAGACATAACATTGCTTATCAAATACCCGTCTTTCGGTTCTTTATCATCAGTCGTATGCAATAGATTGTTTGTTTACTTCAGCCATCTTTCATTTCCTACCCAGACGTCATGATTGTCAATCGCAATGATTATTACCAACGGCTTAAAAACTTTGACGTGAGAATAGGGGTGAACAAGGATAACTTACAGAACCCCACTTGTCATGACCGCGTAAGGACTGTAGGCCAGGGACAAGCTCTGAGAGTACAGTGCGCTCCACCAATCCCAGGACGATATGTGTCGGTGCAGATGTTTGGTGAAGGAATTTTGACCATGTGTGAGGTGACAGTATACTCGCGGGTTGGTGAGTGTTAAAGGATTAAAATTAAACGAAGGAAATTATCTTTTTTTTTCAAAAACCTATTAAAAAGTTAAACTATGGCTGGTTTCAATAAAACTTTCTTTTGACCCTTTTTGTCAATAAGAGCTTTGGTGTACGCAAATTGTAAATTATCGATTTACCTGCAAACGTCTGTCTCTGATCTCTGAGTGGCAGTGATCTCCATCAGGAAACCGTAACCTGCTTAGGACAGGCTAGACCCTGTTTGGGACAAAACAGTAAATAAATTAGAACAGCGAGTTCAAAAACAATCTGAACCTGTCCAGAGTCACTTTACGTAATACACGAAAGAACACTCCGACAGTTAAAGGATTTACATAGCTACTTGCAGTCATAGGAAGATTAAGTTCACGACCATATTATAATGAAGACAAATTCTTGTTTCAAAATAGAGCTCAAGACCTTCAATAGAGAATATTACTAAACTGGAATTAAAATTCGATCATTAGGTGCTTTAGCTGATCTGTGTCAGCTTTCTAATGGAGGTTGCGAACAGGTTTGTTATAACCTGTGTAACTTGGAAGTCAAGTGTGGTTGTTGGCCTGGCTACACTCTAGCTTATGATGGAAAAACCTGTATTGGTAAGTGGAGGCTTAGTAGCAGTTTAGACTTACGTCTTTTTCGTGTTGTCAACTTTTTTTTATTAATTCTATTATGCTTAACCTATTCCCCCCTTAACCGCCCATTACCACTCGGGCGGATCCCCGCCTCTTCTACAGCTTGTGACGTCATCAGTTTTAACGGTCAATGATATCTTTGACCGCTAACTTAAGCAGGGTGAAGAACTCTTTCCATCCATATCAGAATGAGGATGATTGAGACCGGAGAAAAAGGCCAAAAAAACAAAAAACAAAAAAACACACACACAAAAAAAACAATACCATGTAACATTGACCGGAAAATTTCCACGAAAATCTTGCCCAGCTACCTTTCCTCTCATCTAATCCTAATCTAATCCTTGTTTTTTCTTTACTTCCATGAGAAAATGAGTAGTTTCACATTATTTTCATCCATAGGAATTGTTTTAAACTGTTTTTATCTGCTCATTTTCTATTTTGTCGAATTCTGAACTTTTTACTTGAGTCTGTCATTTTCCGTTTGCCGTAGTGGTGACTCTAAATCTCTCTATTGATCCGACGTTTCGGCCGCGTACCGCACGCGCAGGTTTTCATTGGGCCATAGTGCCGATGTACAGAGTTGGACTATTAGTATTACCTTGGTTCTTTCATGATCATGTCTGGTCAAATTTTTTCAGCCTGTCAGAAACTCGTCCGATGCTGTGTGAACGAAAACTCCCTCGCAGCCGTTTTTTTGGATGTCACGCAACGTTGGGAAAGCGTTGCGTGACATCCAAAAAACGGCTGCGAGTGAGACTGCCGAACACAATGTCCGAAGGAATAAATTGAGCCTTCAGGGTAAAAAATCCAGCGGTTATGCCCATTTCTGAAATACACACTTAAATCGGCGTGAAGTTGTAATGTGTGAATCCAAGTCGAATGTTACACTTACGTGACAACACGTACCACAGGGCGCCCGCGCGCTTAATAGTGGCCATCGCTTCCAATACAGTGAAATCGAAGTTATTTACCCGTGGGCCTTTGCCTTTCTTTCTCGGTTTTGGAAGAGATTTGTATCATGGCCAAGACTGTTTCTCAGAGGCGATTTCAAAATACAATCCGGAATCGCTTTTAGCAAGTTTTACTCCGTCTACAGTTTCTGGTCGGTTAAAAAGCAACCCTCCCGGGGAAATGAGTTTCGGGTTTCAATTTTAAAATAAACTTTATTTTCATATCTTTTTTGCATTATACCAATATTTAGGGTCAAAAGGTACAAACCTTTGTATCTAATGAGTATTTCTCACGATTACTGAAATCTACAGACTAGAGCAACCGTTATGAAAAATGGTAAAATGGGATCCTGGTAAAATTATAAGAGATCCCCGGGGAGAGATCACGGGGGTCGCGCGTGACAGTTCGGCTCAGCGGGCATGTGATGTGATACGCGCTTGAATCGATTGCATTTTGAATCGAGCGAAGAAGTGAAGTGTTTGTCTTCGCTCTGATACAAGTCCCTTGCAGAATAACGAAAAAAAAACAACGCAGAAGCTCAGGTAAATCATTTTTCTTTCATTATACTGGATGAATGAGTTATAAAGTCTCCATGGCCTCTAGCCTCCACATGTACTCACTTCAATTCCATTACAAACATCATCAGTGACGCGAAGTGCAAAAAATTCTCAATAGCAGAAATTCATACCTTATTGAGGTCCGTTTAGTGTTTTACTGTCGACGCTTTTGCTTTTCACCGACATATGCCCACCGTTCATTGAGTACATGTCTCGGGAAGTCAAGAGTTGAGACCGTGCGGTGAAATTACATGTAAATGGTTGCAGCATTGTTCAAATGCTTTAAATATTAACTAGATAAAACCGAAGAATGAAACATGTGCTCATGGCTTTCCGCATTGTTCCAAAAAATTCTCTTCCGTAGAACTAAGAACATGTTCTTGGCTTATTTGTTCATGTTGTATTGGTAGACAACTGTTATACAAACTTGTGCAACGCAGACAGTTAACAAATTCGAACTTCCCGTTAGCTTTTTGGACATCTTTTGACATCTTGCTTTGTGTCCTTTGTTCGCAGATAAGGACGAATGCCAATCTAACAATGGAGGCTGTGATATTGCAAATGGCCTCTGCATTAACACCCCCGGAAGCTACCACTGCGCATGTAAGCAAGGATATGAACTGAAGGAGAACAGTGAATTCCTCTGTGAAGGTAAGAGGTACAAATCCTATAAATGTTAAGGCCCCGGCCGTTGGGCAGAGCAGGCGTTATTTCTTGGCGTTTTTTCGGCGAGCAAAGACAAGAACGCTCGGGGGAGTTGGGGGGTGGGGGGGGGGGTAGTCCCTTATCGACTTTGGCCGTTTTGGTCTGGAATCGAGTATGGTTTTCGAAGGAACTACGGGAGCGTATGAACGTATTTATCGTTTCAATTCCAAACGAATAAGAAATAAATAGAAATTTGTGAATTCGAAATGCATTTGAAAAATTTTATTGTTTGCGCTCCAATCTAAGTAATGATGATAATAATGGATTTTAGAGGTCTGGTCTAAAAACGGGTGTGGAAAATCAGATTTTTTGGTCTGAAATAGGGTCAGGATTTGAAGAACCGGGCGGCACACCCCCATCAAAAAGTCCCCGAGTACCCCCCCGGGCAAGGACGAAGCGGGTGTGGGACAATAGAAACACGCGGCGGGGAAACGGGGTCATTTTTTTCAGTCGCTTGCCTTCGATCGCCAAAAGAACGGGAAAAGATAACGCCCATCAGACCGGTTGGTGGAAACTCCTTGACATAGGCCCAGTATGCGAGTTGCCAATATTTCTGTCCATAAAGAAGTATCTAAATAAATATAACAAATACCGTGTTGGATTATGATCTCCTTTAGGGTTCAAATAAAGCCTAAGCCACGCTCAGATTGGTCTCCTCAGAGGATTTACCTCTCTTAAGTCAAAGCCTCTTGTCTAGTAAACGCCCCTTCCCTGTCTAATAAACCCCCTCCCACATAATTAAATAACAAGAAATAGAGTAAAATCATTCAATTTATTCCGTTTCTTCCTTGATTAACTAGCATTTGCGCATTGTCAAGTTAAAAGTAAGGATTCTGACATCGAAGTTAAGAGTAAATAGAACCATAGGGATCTGAAAACGGTGTATACGTGTCAATCAATGGACTGGATGGTCTGCTATCATAGGTATAAACTGTGGTGATATATTCGCCGAAAGCATTTTAGCTTTTTATTAGTTCGTTGCAGTTATGGGAATAAACGCCTGCTATCTATTAAACGCCCCCGCTTGGAATGGACGTCCCGGGCGTCGACTATTAGATCATTTAAGGGTAATTACAATTTTCCGAGGAGCATCCGCTCCCATCCCGTCCCGTCTCGTCTTGTGTGACACGAAATCGTGACGTTATTGGCAAAATTCAAACTTTGAGAACTGCCTTCACACTGAGTGAAACATAACTAATAACTGCTCAAAACGTAAAAAAGGTATAAATAACACAGCAAATACAAAAGGAGTCACGTATGGATTAAAACAAGAAAAAAAAAACGGATTGCAATTGACGTTTTTGAAAATTTGTTATAATCCTACACTAACGCACTAATGCACCCTTGCGTTGCTGTCCCCTATTTTGTTTTGATTATTATTACCTACTACCTTATTTACCAAATTTACTTGTTTATTTTTCTCTTTTTCTTAGATTTCAACGAATGCAGCTTGAATAACGCTGGATGTGAACACGTGTGTAACAACACTGGTGGAAGTTTCAACTGTGATTGCAGGGCCGGCTTCAAACTGAAACCGGACAAGAGAGGATGTGCAGGTCACAAAATATATTCTCTTCATTAATTAACAGCTGCATGTCGCTATTTATTACAGACGAGATAAACCCTAGCTATAACAGACGGGATAAACCTTATTTGTCTTGACATTTACACGTTGATCCAACTATGAAAAATTCTTCTTGTAAACTTAGTCCTCAAGCAAACGCCTTTTCTTCTCCTTGTTCGTTTAGCGTGAAACAGGCGCATTGAGAACCTACAGGCTTGTCAACTTAATCTTTTTTTTTTCTTTCTCTTGGTTTGTTTTTAAAAAGCTTTCCCTGTATACGTATTGTTGTATTATTAGCCTGCCTTCTTAGGGCGAAAGGAGATATTTCCAAGACGCAGGCGCGCGAAGGGAGAAAAGTAGAGGAGGCTTTCTTCCCGTTCGCGTGTTCCCCTCACACTCCAAGAGCGCTCTTTAAGAAAAACGGTGCCTGCTTCCAAACAAAATTCATTGACGCTTAGCAACTGAATAATGAATAATTTGAATAATTTGACTTAATTAACGCCCTTTCGTTTTTATTTTCCTTTTTAGACATCGACGAATGTAAAGAAGATACAGACGGCTGTGAACACACGTGTACCAACTATGAAGGCGGATATTACTGCTCCTGTAATGCCGGATATCGACTCATGGATGATGACAAAGGGTGTGAAGGTAAGAAGTGCAACATTTAAGGGAAAAGTCTAAACAACGAATCTCAAGTTAGGGCTCAAAATAATATTTTGACTGTTGCCAGCCATGCTAACCGGTCATAGAAATTTCAGCTCGGTCCGCAAACCTCTCTCTTTTGAGCGGTCATGTCCCAAAAATAGAAAAATAATGAAATAATTATTTAAACCAGGCGCTTTAATACAATAGCTTGATAAGCAAAAATATATAATTTCTCCCGTAAAAAAGGTATACTTGAAACTTAGAACTTAGAATAAATACATTCCAATCCATTTACAGTATAGGTGCCAGGTCAAAATGACCAGTAAACCGAAGTTCTGTATGTCATTTTGGCCAGACATTGTTCATTGACTGGCCTTTATTTTAAGCCCTGACTTGAGGAAAACTAGAAATATACTGCTCATCCAAGCCTCCCCTAACCCAACGTTAACGCGATCTGTTCACTTTGGACCAAGTGCTGGTTTAGGGGAGGGGTAGGCGAACAGCGTTCACTTAGAAACCCAGGTGCATTGATGAAATCAGAGATCGAGCCATATCCTGCGGACGTCGTTTTTTTCGCGCGTTTTTTATCAAATCGTCGCACATGAATGATTGCGAGTAAGGGTAAGTGCTACTAGCAAGTTCGAGCAATCACAACAACGGCGGCAACGAGAAATTAAGAGAGGAACGGGTTGAATAAGCAAAAAAATAAAAAAATAAATAAAAAAATAAAAACTCTGGTGCAACGTGCAGCACACTTTTGGACGTGCATATTTCTTTTTCATTATCGCACGCCAAACTTTGTCAACTGGACTTAATCAAAATCGCCATGCGATCGTCGTTTTGATCTCTAAGATGGTCGTTTCATCAATAGCGATCGCCGCGACTTCGATTTCGTCGAAAATACCCATTTTAAGAAGTCTTATAAATTATACTGGAAGTTGAAGAATTAAACTGGATTTGAGAAACACTAACCGTTCCGCGAACAATTGCCTAGGGCTCTCATCACTGAAGTGAAAGTGTTTGCTGTTTATGACAACCAAAACCAGAAACTGCCCCAAGCATTTTTATGCTGAGATTAAGGGACGTTATTGATAGAAAATACTCCTGTCTTGCAGAAATATATTGCCCAGCCCTGGAAGCGCCATTCCGCGGTCTCATTGCGCCGACAACCTGTACAGACAAGAGATCCAATATCCGGCGTAGCACTGTGTGCTCGTATGGCTGTGATTCAGGACATAATCTCGTGGGGGGAAGCCAGTCTTTGGTTTGTCAGTTAAATGGACTGTGGCAAGGAACTGTCCCTTACTGCAAACGTAGGTTTTTCATTGCATATGAGATAAACAATTAAGCTTTAGAATAATAGACCTTTTTAATTTTGTATGTTTCCCAAACCGGACCACGTGATGTTCTCAAGGGTTTATTTTGGGAAAAGTGGACGAAGAAGACGTTTGAAAGAAAAAGTTTTTTGGCGTAACATCGCTTGGTTTGAAATGGGAAAACAAAATATATGTAAGCTAAAAGGTGTATAGTAGTAAAATGTGAGCGATTATCGAGCTGTTGAAAAAATTTAACCCATATCATTTCTTAGCCTATTTTCTGGCATCTACTTCATAAATCGGCAGTTTAAGATTGTCATTTCATGCAACCATTCTCCGGCTTTGTTCAAGAGAATTTTCGTCTACGCTGTTACGGGTATTTCGGGTGAAGGTAGTTAACGTCAATGTATAAAAACACAGATATTCCTCTCAAATTTCTTTGAAATCCTTTATGCAGCTAGCTTGGCCCAGTCAGGTCGCTGGAATTTTTTTCATAGTTTCTATTTTTCAACCAATAAGCAACTCTTACAGTTCTTTTATAGCTTGAGGAGTTCTGATCAAGAATAGTTACATTGGGTATCAAGCAATTAGCTCCGAAGTGATGAAGGTTGCTAGACTTGTTATAGCAAGGCGGAGGCTGTAACCTTGTTTAAGTGTAAAGAGTACGTTTCCAAACTTGACATGGAACTCTTTGTATCTGACTTTAATTTTTTTCGTTCTTTTTTTCTAATGAACAGAGAGAGATTATTAACCCAGTTAGTTTAATATCATGTATTTTGGAAGGCGTCAAAGATAACGATAGCCATTAATTTATTCATTTTAAAGTTACTATTAAAATAGGTTGTTTATCAATTTACTATTTTATTTGTTTCTTGCTTTACTTACCTGACGATTGTTATTACCTCTCAGCGATTGTTTGCACAAAATTGACTGTGCCTGATAAAGGCGGAGTGGTTCCAGCGTCTTGCGCTAAAACAGACGTCGAGTACGGCACACGGTGCGTCTTCTACTGCGGCGATGGATATGAATTGAGTGGCCCCAGATACACCACGTGCCAAAATGATACAAGCTGGAGTGAGATTGCAACTCTTTCTTGTGTGAGAGGTTGGTTCGAATAGATTTTTAGATGAGTTTTTACTACATATTCGTGCGTACTAGGTTAAGTAAGTATGTGGCAACCAGTCTGTGAATTTTTACTTTTCGGTCCAGTGACTTATGAAATTTGTATCACCCGCACAAACTTGCAGATTATTGTGAAGTTTAATGACTGCGCGATCGTTGTCAGGGCTTCTGATATTTCGCGGAAAAAAAAGCAAAATTTCGCGGGATTTTCAGGGGTAAATTCGCGGAAAAATCGGCCGATTTCGCGGGATTTTCGCGGGAAAAAAGTCAAAATTCGCTGAACAATCGGCCGATTTCGGGCGATTTTCGCGACAGAAAAGTCAAAATTCGCAGAAAAATCGGCCCATTTCGCGGGATTTTAGCGGAAAAAAGTCAATTTTCGAACGATTTTCAGGGGCAAATTCTTAGGAAAATCGGCCGATTTCACGGGAAATTTCGGGGGGAAACTTCGCCAAGGAACAATCAGTAAAAAACAGCCGATTTCGCTGGGTTTTTTATGGCAAATTTCGCTAAAATCGATCAATTTGGCGTCGATATGACCAGCGTTGGTGAACGTTTTTTTTAACAGGGATAATCATTTGCTCTTTCATCAACAATTCGCTCGAGAAATGCGCGAATGTTAAAGCCATAAACATTATAGTTAGTGCCCAGTTTTTCGCAACGTTCATCTAAAAACGCCTGGTAGTTTTGGGACGTTGTTTACTCGTTGCAGTGACGAAGCTTCAAGCTAAATTTGGACGTTTGGGGTGAATAAAACCGGTCTAATAGCCAAGATAAGTATTAAATATGTTTTGCCGACGTGTATTTGGAAATATTTCTGGCGGATTTCGCGGTATTTCGCGTTTTTTGGGGAATTTCGCGGGATTTCGCGGAAATACCTGAATTTATCAGAAGCCCTGCGTTGTGCATTTTTAGGGGGATGGTTTTAGCATAGCGCACGAGTGTTTTTCAGAAATAGAAAAAAAATGGATCCAGCCAATCAACCGGCAGACCTTGGTGTGATTTCCCAAGTGGTAATGCCCATGACCAAGGCTTGATACTTTGTTAAGGTGGCTCGACCCAGTATTTTTGTAGCGGTACCTTCCATCTTTGAATCTCATATACTTAAATTGATCTTTCCTGTAAAACCCATTATAACACATGTATTACACATAAACTAAACTTTATTGTAATATTATTTTTTGGGCGACCGGAATTAATATCATCCATGACGTCATAATAGTTTTAGCTCTAAAATTAATCGAATTTCTACCCTTATAAGCTTAACGCTACCTATACTTTGGCTGCTTGTCTTCTGTTGTGCGAAGTTTCACAAAAATCTGTAAGAGGAATTTCGAGATATCTTGGAATTTCTACAAGAATTATTTTTTGGGATTCAATTGATGCAAAAGAGTTTTGGCTTTTTGAATAGATAGCGAATAGAGTGACTAAGGACCCTTAATACATCATGTAATGCTCAGTTTATTGAAAATATTTAAGACGATTTTCGTCTTATCCCCTTAACAGTATACACGGACCCATGGATCTCATGTCCAATCGACAGAGTTGAAGAACTTGAACCAGACCAGTCAACAGTCGTGCTAGGCTTCAAGTGGCAGCTTCCAAGAACCAACATGAAGAACGTGACCGTGTCTCCTAGCAACTACGATGAGAATTATGCTTTCCCTGTTGGCAAACACCGTGTCACGTGGATAGGAACTAGTGACCGTGGAGCACAGAAGAGCTGCAGCTTCTATATCACTGTCAATGGTAACAAAAGTGTCCGTCCTAGTCATGATTCAAAGCTATATGCGGTTGTAGTGTCAAAGCATTTGATTGTCCTTTGAAACATCCCGGACTTCTCAGAAAATCACCTCTGTGTGTAGTTTCCTGGCCAAAAATCTATCAAACTTTACTTTGAACTGCTATAATTCCATTTTGTTCATTCCCTTGCCTTAAGGATCCGTTTTTAACATATTTTAGATGAAATAAAGCGTGCCATCCTCTAAACTTGTCTCCTTCGCAACCGTTCCTTGTGTCGTCACGCAACGCTTTCCCCGCGTTGCTTGACGACATAATAAACGGCTGCATAGGAGACTAACTCTTAACTAATCCCTCCACTCCTTGAATCAGTCATAAGAATATATAATTTTTTAGTTTTTTTAAACAAAAGCCAATGATGTGACAGCCAGTAATGCGTGTGCTACCTTTTTTCTCTGTATATAGGATTGTATGAAGTGAAACTTGTGATTTTCCTTAAACTTTCACGGAAATAGAAAAGGACGAGGTAGGAGAGAGACCTCTACCGGCCCTCGACACGTCCCTTCATGCAGCCGCCGAGCTCATTCGATCTCATTCCTGGTCAAAACCGGTTTCGTTTATTGTGAAATACGCATACCCTGTCTAAACCGCACGCTGAAAAATTTCTGATTGCAAAGTTGCTGTCGCGGTTCTGTAAATTGTGCAGGGCGTGACTAAAACGTTACTGTTTGTTAAGGAAACGTCCGTGATAGAAAACGCATCGGGGTGCGGCAGAGGTCTTTCCCTTTCCTACCATTTTTCTCTCGTCATGTAAGACCTCTGCTAGCACTGGAAATTGATACTTTCGGTAATAAAATAATTAACAAGACTGACGAATTGTATGCTTGTTTCATTTCAGATGTGACACCGCCTTCCACTCAGAACTGTCCTGCGTCATTCTCAGATCAGTCGAACTCTCTTCAGAAACAAGTCACGTGGACGCCGCCCACCTTCACTGACAATGTAGGTGTGGCCAGTGTACTTTCCAATCGCCAGCCAGGATTCTTGATGGATACTTACACGTCAATAGCAATCCAATATACTGCCACTGACGCAGCAGGAAATATTGCCTACTGCAGGTTTAACATCACTCTCGAAGGTACGTGTTCTCGTGCAGGATGGTCTCCGTTTAGTATTCAGTCGGAACCTTTCGTTAATCGTTATTCTGCTGTTCGCTGTTTAATGGTACGTTCGGTTACAAGTAAATTTTTACCAGTGTACAGCACATCGCACGTAGTATACAGATCGCACATAACTTCGTCTTCGAAATCTTAAGTCGCATTCGCATTAGAAGCGTTTTTGACCGTCTTGTCAAATTTCGTCCTCGTAGATGTTATTCTAAGAAAACAGCTAACATTTCACGACACCAAAAATTGTTATCCTACGAAATGATGTCTGAGAAACGAGCGCAGAAATTCCATACTGATGACGTGTTATTACCAAGATCTGTGCAGTGCTCCGGCTGCAAACTTGCTTCAACCAATCAGAAGCACTACCCAGATCTGCTCTCGTTTCTCAGAGGTCATTTCGCGGGGAAACCAGAGGCGGAGTCGCGAAAGGTCGGCTGTTTTCTTACACACTTTATTTACACACTTTATTATTATTAACAATCTACATTTACATAAAGTCCATTTCCGCCCGCAAATAGCAGGTGCTAGTCGAGGCGGGCGGAAATAGTAGGTACAGCAGTCAGTAATAAATTAGAAGTAAATAAATGAATAAATAAATAATTAAATAAATAACTATATAAATATAAATAAGTGAAATAAAGCTTAAACATAAATTAATAACATTTACAAAATCAACTACTTGAAACTCGTAAAATTAACTGCGACACTAAATTAAGATATGTAAACTTTATAAATTAAACTCTATATTTGCGCGATAGTTAGCTATTTTTTGAAGCAGAATGGGCGATTCAACATAATCGTCCTCGGCCTCTAATAACGAAAATAATATGTCATTAATATGTTTTATGATATGTTTTATGAACGGCTTGGAAACTAAAATTTCGAGGACGTTTTTGGACTTTTTACATTTAGGGCATGAATTTTTCGTCATTTCAGGCCATGGAACCTAAAAATGAGCCTAGCTAGCTGTAAAAAGGGGCAATACGGAGGCAATACGTCCTAGCCGGCATGATCACATGCTGTTTACGGAAAATTCCCTCATCCATGTCAGGAAATTCTGTATTTTAAAGCCTCCCCTAGGGCATGACTCAGCAATTGAGGACATTTCTGCTACGTTTTCAATGTTGGTTAGCATGCAAGGATTTTTCCCATGCCTATCGTCAATGATTTGCTCACTGGTAATAGAGGGGGTGGCCCCAGAGTGGTTTTGCATTGAAATTGGCATGCAACAGAATTTCGCATGCCCTGTAAGCATAATTTGAGGTTCTGTGACCTTCTCACCCAGGCCGCGAGAAGCCTAGGTTCTAGTAATAAGTAATTCATACCCAGCAAAATCCCCGGCATGCCGGGCATGCCAAATTTTCTGACATGCCCGGCATGCTAAATTCTCTGGAATGCCGGGCGTGCCATAATCTGGGTCATGCCGGGCATGCCAAAATCGGTCTCTGGCATGTTTCAACGCACAGGTTATAATTCCTTGAATCTACAGATATTTTAAGCCTGGCTAAAAAAAAAAAATAAACAGATCACAGTGCTTATCTTTTGATGTACGGTTACACGATGACGTCATTGCTATTCCTTTCATTTTCATAGATTTGGTTGTCCCAGCGAAGTTTAAATAACAAAAGCTCTAATTTTCACAAGAAAGTAAAACCCTGAGGGATTCTGCCGAAGTAATAAAACAGCGTCATCGTGGAGATGACCTGTTGGGGGATTGTAAAAACTCCTCACCCCTTTTAATGAGTCTTTAATAGGATTCCCATTTCACATTGCGAATAAAATGGAATTGACTGAAATCAGTAAAAAGAGAGACAGAGACTATTTTCATTGTATAATAAAATGCATCTATGTTCCATGAAAGCTTTTAAAAATACAAGGTTATAGAATATCTTTCAAAGTTCATTACAAACTGAGCTAAGCCCCAAAATCACTGTTCATTATTCAGTAAATTATGATGTTTGACAATGCAATGTGCTTGAATATAACGTTGCAATTACAAATCTCTCGAACGCAATTTTCCCTACGTTAGAAAAGCTCTTTTTATCTTGTTTCACATTTTGATAAGGAGTCTGAGTTCCTCTTTCTTGTTTTGTAGGCTTGCCAGGGATTAATGTTTTTTTGTCATTACCAGTGTCTGTGTTCTTCGTTTTTAACTCAAAGTAAGTCAGTAATAACTGACGGTATCAAAGGATTGCTCTCTAGAAAAGTAATTATCTCCTCGTCATGTCTGGAAGTTACCTGTAACAAAAAAGAAATGGAATCTTAACACATGCAAGGGCAATATGAAAAAAAGAAATAGAACATGTAGAGCTCAGCTTCTCTTAACATATTTTCATACTGGCTTGTTGAGTCTGTTAAAGGTCGCAACTAATTGTCTGAGGCTAATTTCACAAGAGTGTGCAATTGAGATAAATACATGGTAAATAAAGTGAAAGAAACGTGGTTTCACATTAGCCAATTTACATTGCGCTGTTCGATGATGTTTACACGCTTTTCTACTGCGAAATAAACCTTTGCATTTGGATTTGCAAGTCAAGATTATACCGAGTTTGACTGACACTTAATTGAACAACAGTTTCATTTTTAAGCAGGCAATTGGGGTGTAGACCCATATAAAGCCGGAATATGTAAAGGAAACTCAGCGAAAACTTTTTCGCATCTTTTTGTGGCGATATTCTTTCACGGCCCGTCAACTGATTAGGGGTTGCGAAGAAAAAATAAATTAGGACCAAAGGTTAAAGCCTGTCCGGTTACATCATTTCGTATGTTACCTAGAGTTCTAATAAATAGGTCATAAAATAGGATTTAACGAGAGCGAATTTGTTTCTCAATCGGTGTATAAAAAAGTGAGGCTATCAAATGAGAAGTTTATAGAGTATCAAAATTATTAAATTAAAAGCTCATTTAATTAGGAAAATTCCTATACGAAAACAATGCTAGTGACATTAAATTGATCAGATAAAATTCTCAGAAAATATGTCCAATAAAAGCCTCATTATTTGCTTTTGTTTTTGCGTAAAGGTAAATTTTTCGGCCCACAAAGCAAAGTTGAAAAAGCGACTAAATCTTAGTTTTTTACATTGAACATGTTTATTAGCTTAGTTTTCGTCCGTTTTAAAAGCTTTATAACCCAATCATAATTTTCGGGTTAAAATATTACAAAATCATTTCAAAAACCATGTTCATTTAAAGTAGAGCCGGCAAACCTGAACATTTTGTAATTCAAAAGTCGGACCCAGCCAGGTTGTTTAAGCTTAGAATTATTTGCATTTTAGCGTCCTATAAATTTACCAGAATCGCCTCTCAGAGGCTTACTGTAGCAAAGCATTTTGTAGTACACTCGTAGACAAGCAATGTAAGCCTTAAGTCTTTGCTTGGATGAGATGTCCAAAAGAAAAATTAGTTTTGTGGACCTAAACGCACATTCACAGACTGCTTATATTGAGTTGTTTACAACTTTGCATTGACACGCGCAGCATGTTCATTTTTTTAAAGCGAAATCCAAATCTGATTTTGGCATTTGATTTACGGATATTTTATTTTGTCTCCAAAAGTGATTGTAATATCCGTTTGATTGTCTTTCAAACAACAGTCAAACTATGCAGCAAAAATAAGTAACTTTACCAGTACAGTGGAAAAATATGACCGTAGGTGCCAAAAATAATTATACTCGAGCTATAAAATTAGAACTGACTTTTTTTAGCTTTGGTTTCTTATTTTTGAAGTTTTCTCTAGTCTTCTTAGCAGCAGAAGAAGATTACAAGACATACAAACAGAAACAATCCGAAGTGAACAAGTTGACAACCACTTATGCCGGAGTTCTTAGGCATGCTCAACAGCAAGATAAACTGAATGCCAAAAGGATAATTCACGGGATTTGTTCGATATTCAGGCTTTTTCTTTACCAAATTAATACTAAATTTGTACTTACAGTCTCTCGCAGAATCCATTTCTTGTCCAGCATTCACCAACATCTCAACCATGCACCGCAGAAAAAAAAGACAAACAAGTGCGAAGAGACATGACGACATCGTGACGCCACAACTGCCACGCTACAACAAACTAGATTCCTCGTCATCCGCGAAAACACTTCTGCGGAAATTCGGCCGATTTCGTGCGTGCTCGGGGTATCTTCGGATGACGCAGATGACGTTGCTCAAAGGACTATCGTCAGCAAGGAGTAAAACAGTTTGCGAGATTCGCATAGCCGACAAGGAGCGCACTGAAAAACTAAGCAAAATCTCTCTGAGAAGGCAGTCCAAATTCACCAAATCAGAACGTCTTTGCAGTATTAACGTCGTACTCTCGTACTGACTTGAACGACCTGGTAAGCTTCATTTTCACCAGTCTTTTAATGCTGTTGACCGGGAAACATTCCGACACGATAAAACTTAAGCATGGATAAGTTTATACTGAGAAGATTTGTTATCTTATTGTTTAAGACGCTTTTCCGCGATCAAATTTAAATGTGGACCCAGAAATGTCAGTATCGGTTTGAAATAAAAGGATTAATCTTTGATTGCAAGTTAAGTATTCTATTTTATGTATGAATAATGTTGTTTTGTTGTGCTTTTTATTTATAAATCCAGGCTTCTGTCTTCAGTTTTGCCAGTCGATCCCGTGACACACATTGTGACAAACATGACTTTTTTTGTTATAATCTGCATTTATTGCCAGGCATGAAACCTGTAACTTCAAGCTCCCTAAGATATATTTGGCGATTATATGTGATTCTCAGGATATGATGCTGAAGCGAACATCAAAATCAGTCTCGCTGGGCATGCCAATTTCTTGCCTGGCATGCCGGGCATGCCAAACCAACTGGCTTCACCATCGGCATGCCCGGCATGCCAAACCAGAGGAGCAAAAACTGGGAATGAATTATTAACCCGGCGAGAGATCTGGGACCTAAGTTTAGCTGGGTCAATTTTGGGCTGCGAGGGCATGAACCCATTTTTTCCATGCCTATGAGATGTTATTTCTAAGTACCAATGTTCCCTTGAATTTTGTCATGCCTAAATATATAAAATTTTCCCTCTCTCATTAATCCTCAGGCTGGATGCGATTTTTACGCTCGGTAGGCATGTTCAACTGAAAATCATGCCCATACCCTTATTCAAAACAAAATGCTATCAAATTTTAGTTTCCAAGCCGTTCATGTCACTGATATGTATGTTTCTCAGCCTGCGTAGTTGTCCTCGTCCAAAGTCGAATCTATAAGTCTCTATTGTTGTTATAGGTTCAACTTGTATAAAGATCGCTCATCCCAAGAATGGCAATGCCATGCAGCTTGGCTTATATCTTCAGCTGACGTGCAAGAGTGGCTTCTTTTTTAACCCCTCACCGCCTGGATTACCGGGAATATTTCAAAACCCTTTCTACAGATGCATCAACAACCAGTGGGTCTCTCAGAATGATTTCAAGTCCGTTTTAAGAAAGGCACCGGATTGCATGGGTAAGCGGAGTAGATCAGTATACCTTACAAAGGTTTAGTAAGAACAGGTATTTGGAAGTTGACGATTTTAAATACCGTTGAAAATTCGATTTCCGATAGTACTGTGCACGGTACTTTATTATTTGTGAAAGTCTATATGGACGCAAGTAATTCTTTTCCCTTTAGTTTCTTTTACTCCGGGATGCAGATTCTGCTGTTATCGTGATCAGCTGTCAAGTGACAAAAAGATTTATTATTGTGAAAGTATATGTAACCGAATTTTTGAAAACCAACCTAACAAAGTTTGCAGGCATTTGAGTTAAAAGGCGTCAAAAGGCAGGTTTCTGAAGCCCGAGAAGGTCCAAAATCACAGTAACGAAGGAAAAGGAAAGGAGAAAGAGAAAGAGTGAGGAGAACGACAGGAGGAGAAGAGAAAAAAGCAATGGTTGCACTTTTAGTTTTCATAATGGCTACTTTGGAGATAGTTTTTGGCCGAAAAAAACTGTTGGACGAAAAAGGTCCATTTGGCGATAAATTTTTCAAAAATCCGGCTGGATGTTATATGGACGCAAGTAATCCTTTTCCCTTCCCTTTACTCCGCGAGGCAGATTTTGCATAAAAAATCTTTAAGTAGCTTGTCTTTATAGCGAACAAACAAATACAGAGTAGATTGGTATGTTTTCAATACGCCGGTAAACCATACGTGATCCCTGTAAAGTCCGAGAGAGCATTGACTTGAGGCTCTTGTTTTGAATTTCCCTCAAAATCTTTGTCCATGTACGTTAAACGCCAAAGGAAGGTCAAACATTGAAACGTGTAAGTAGCTCCTAAATGTTGTCTTTAAAGTTTTGTGCTTTCTTCAGGGTACTTGGTGTACGACGGAACAGAGTGTCGTGGAGGCTCCGTACTTGTAAACACCATCTGTTGTAAGTAGAACATGAATTTTTGCAATGTAAACTCCATTTGGACGGATTTCGTCCTTTTTCCTAACATTGTTTACAATTTTCGAGGGACTTTGGACTTCTCCAATTCGACAATTTAAAGAATTTTCAGCGTTAGTTTGGGACTGAAGCCCTATTAATATTCTCTTACACGTTAAAAAAAACTGTAAGAAGAAATGTATCTGAACTGTTGCAGGATCCAGGATCTTTTACCCCATAGTGGAGTTTTCTGCAAAATTAAGCCTTAAATTTTGGAATTTCGAC